GGAAACTTAGCAGGATGAGCATGATCTATAAAGGGAAGGGGGACAAAGCTGACATAAACAACTACCGTCCTATAACAGTGACATCAGTGGTCTACAGGCTGGTGATGCAGATTATAAAGGAAAGACTGCAGGCGTAGATAGAGGATGAGGGGGTGCTGGGGGAACTGCAGAATGGATTTCGGAAACACAGGAGGTTGGAAGACAATCTGTTCTCACTGACGCAGTGCATCGAAATAGCAGAAAAGGAACACAGGCCCTTGTGGCTAGCATTTTTGGATATCAAGGGAGCGTACGATAGCGTGGTTCAAGAGGAATTGTGGGGAATACTGGACACACTAGGCGTGAAACATGTAGTCACTAATCTTTTAAAGGGTATCTATAAAGGTAACAAGGTAGTTATAAAGTGGGAAAAACAGGTATCAAAGCCTGCAGAGGTAAAACGGGGGCTTAGGCAGGGGTGCCCCCTGTCACCCTTATTATTCATGATGTACCTACAAGGATTAGAGGCAAAATTAGAGGGAAGTGGACTGGGCTTCAACCTCTCTTTAGTCAAACAAGGAAAACTTATTGATCAGGCACTACCAGCATTAATGTACGCAGATGATATAGTGCTAATGGCCAACAACAAGGAAGATTTGCAGAGATTGATGGACATCTGCGGTAATGAGGGAGATAGGTTAGATTTCAGCTTCAGTAAGGAAAAATCAGCAGTCATGATTTTCAATGACAACGAAGGTAGTGAGCTTAGAATACAGGAGGTCACGCTAGAGATAACAGGTAAATACAAATATCTGGGCGTATGGATAAGCAATGGGACCGAGTACCTGAGGGAACACGAAATATACGTGACGACTAAAGGTAACAGGAATGCAGCAGTCATGAAAAATAGGGCACTGTGGAATTACAATAGGTATGATGTTGTGAGAGGAATATGGAAAGGGGTCATGGTTCCTGGGCTGACGTTCGGCAATGCGGTCTTGTGCATGAGATCAGAAGTTCAAGCAAGATTAGAAATTAAGCAACGTGGAATAAATAGGCTTGCTTTAGGAGCTCACGGGTATACACCAAATTAGGGAGTACAAGGTGATATGGATGGACATCATTTGAGGGCAGGGAAGCTAGCAGCAAGATAAAATTTGAGAAGCGATTGAGAGAAATGGGGGAAGAGCGTTGGGCTAGGAAGGTTTTCAGCCACTTGTACATGAATAATGTCGATACAAAATGGAGGAAGCGAACCAGGAAGTTGACTGGTAAATACTTAGAAAACAGCAGGTGGCCAAACCAAAAAGAACTATCGGTTAAGAAGAAAGTGAAGGAAACGGAGACTGACATGTGGAGAATGGGCATGATTAAGAAGTCCGCACTAGAGGTCTATCGAACGTTTAAGCAGGAAATTGCCAAGGAAAGGATCTATGATAATACTCGGGGTAGTTCTCTACTGTTTGAGGCCAGAACGGGAGTACTGCGAACCAAGACATATCGGGCCAAATACGAAGGGGTAGACACGGTATGCAGTGCGTGTGGAGAGGAAGAAGAAACTGCCGAACACTTGATAATGTTCTGTAAAGGGCTTCACCCTATAGTTCAGGATGATGGCGCAGAGTTTTTCAAAGCACTGGGGTTTAGGGACCGGGAGGGCAAAATAAACTTTAAGCGGGTAGACTTCACTAGAAGGAGGTTGTCTGATTGGTGGCTAAAGTCAAGGCGCGAGTGAAAATTAAACTCTTCACTGCAAAGTACGAATCCTCAAACTCTTTTTTAAGGAAAAAAAAAATAAATATAGTTTTTGGTTCATTATATATTACGGCTTGGTGGCGCTAGCCACCGCCCGATTTAAAGGGTACAGCCATATCCATCCATCCATCCATTATCACGGCAGCGGGTGGTACCAGCTAAGCGTTTTTCATCTGCGGCCCATAGGGGCGCGTCAGTCGAGAGTTGTTCGAGACCTGTAGCTGTGCACCACTGTTTCGGAGGCTATGCAAAGTGTTGCGTTGTTGCACCGTTCGCCACAGGTGACGCTAGCGACCGAGAACATTTTCAAAATGAAGGAGGAAAAGGGTGTGGCAGCTGTTTTTTTTTTTTTTTTGTCATGCGGCAGGCATCTTCCTAGAGGAGGCGTTGCCTCAGCGAAATTCTACTATGTCTATTGAGCCTAAATTCGAATGTTCCGAACACATTTCCTAATCGCGGCAGGAATCGTCCGAACGAAGGCCGAGAGCAGCGTACTCGAAGCTTGGGAAGTACGCGTGTGACCGGCACACGCACCGTCTTCTACAGCGTGCGTGATTGTCGTTGCCGCTGTCGACGAAACCGTGGTCGCTTTTGACGCGATCATGTATGGCGACGACGTAACTGTCCCGAAAGTGTGCTTGCGCTTAACACCCAACCAGTCAAAGCAACGCTGCTTTCCGCAAGTCCTGCGGACAAAACCGTGGCAGATGCGATCGTAGACAGCATAAAACGACTTTGTTTTGAAGGCGTGTGCGTAGTCAAGCGCAGGGGTATTAAAAAAGGACCTACCATTTGCCGCAACCGGCGCGCACAACACCGCGGTCGCGGCGGCGCGATAGCGATCTACGAGTTCCGAGGGCAGTAAATACGTAAAAAAAGTCAGTTTCGCTGCAAGGGCGAAGCTATGAATGCGACAGCAACAACTTGGAATATCACACTGAGTATGGCGAGCAGATCGAATCGCGCTGCTCACGCACAAATGACGCACGAAAACAATACACACAAGGCAAGAGCGAACTAACAACGTTTACTGCGCGACACGTAACGTGCTGTTTGAACAAAACCAAAAAAAGCGATGCTTGATACATAATCACAGGTACGGAGGAGTACCAACTAACAAGTGTCTCAGTTGTACCTCGCTGTGTATGAAAAGCGCGCTCTTTTCGCAAACGGGGCCTGGGAATAGACCGAAGATACCTTTGTAGGCCCGGAAACTAACACAATCGTTCCAGTGAAAGCCGAAGGCACGATTCTCCCCACCGAAAGATAAGCGCGCGCGCACATGCATCACCCCCCCCCCCTTCCCCTCCTCCACCCGCGGGACAAAATAGGCAAAGCGCGTCGTCGGCGCATTGCGACGAGCTGGGCACCGAGCTCGGACGACTTGTTTTTCTTTCTAGAGTGTTAATATATATAGATAAGCATGACGGCGGTGGCGGCGACGGCAAAAGACCAGCCTAGACTGTCAATCACAAAGGGGCCAGACACGTTTTGGCGTTCCTGTCAAAAGAATCTAGCAGAGAGCAAAGCCTTGACCCGCATTTTTGCGGGTCAAGGCTTTGCTCTCTGCTAGATGTGTTGATCCTGCTAGTTGTGTTGATCCTTTCAGACTCACTTTAGTGGGAAACCCTGATTTGATTGATTGATTTGTGGGGTTTAACGTCCCAAAACCACTATATGATTATGAGAGACGCCGTAGTGGAGGGCTCCGGAAATTTCGACCACCTGGGGTTCTTTAACGTGCACCCAAAAGTGGGAAACCCTACCTTCGTGTGTTCGGCCACTCCAAGCCGACCTCAACGCTGATGTTTGCGCTTTGTTATTTTTGTTTGTTTGGTTGTCCTTGGGTTTTTTTTTTTTTGGTGCCGAAAAAGAATAGGAGCAAATAATTCAACACCCCCCCCCCCCCCCCCCCGCCGCTGCGAAAATCTCCCGGATTCAGAATCCTTAAACTTGGCAGGTATGTAATAGTTTAAAAGATAGGAGGGGAGTTCAATTACGTAGTGCAACATGCCAGTTAAAAAGCCTTTTGACCACTAAATAAACTTGTGAAGACTCGTAGAGTACATAGCCCCCCAAAAATTATTACATGAATATTCTTTAAAAGAGTACTGATACAAAATTTGAAGAAGGTAACTTGAGATATCGATTTTTGTCAATGGAGGCAAAAAGGCTGTAGGCCCGTGTGCTCAAATTTGGGTGCACGTTAAGGAACCCCAGGTGGTCGAAATTTCCCTAGCCCTCCACTACAGCGTCTCTCGTAATCATATGGCAGTTTTGGGACATTAAACCAAACAAATCATCATGGATTTCTGTCAACACACACCTTTAAGTAAAGTTTTATAGTGTATGCTGTGCAACTGAGCACAAAATGGAGCACCTCAGGAACAGCACCTACAATATACCCCTACAATGAGCTTCTACTCTTAATACAAATACGGTAGTTCTACAGCTAGGTTAGCCATTCTGATAAACAAGCTGATATTTTAAAGCAAGAAATAAAGAGAAATTATTCAGAATCATGTGGCTCGGCCTACATGCTCGCAACACTTCACCCGTTTGAGATCTGCTTTAACAGCTTCACTGTAATGCCGACTGTTGTTTCAATGCGAAACTGTGAGAGAACAGTACGTAGAAGGGCATACAAGCAGTTTTCTGATGTCGGCTGAGGCACCGTGCATGCCAGCACTCAAGAGCGTGCCCTTATGGCGACAAAGTTCACACTTGTCACTGAAGCAACGCTGCCACCTCCCCCCACCTCTGGTGTCCATCCTCTGGTGTCCATGCTACTTCATCCGAGGGAGGACTGGCAGGTTCTTTCTGATCTGCTTGAGAAGCAATTTGGGGCAGACCTCACACGAGAGACAATATCGCATGTGCTCTCTGGGTGACTCTGTCCGGCTCAATTCATATTTGCTTCGGCCACACTCGTCGCCCCTGCTGGTGCACTTTTACCCGTGGGTAGAACATCGATGGTTATGGTAAGATTATGGTGAGGTTATGGTTATATTTGGGCTTATACCGAACATGAGTATGTCGGTGACAGCGAAATCTTTTTGAGAGTGTGCATATAATTGCTATCGCTGTAAAAGTACATACCATTCCAGCAGATGCAAAAATACATAAAGTGCTATTGTATTTATTCAGCCATGATTTGCTGTATAGTAAACTGTAAGAACGCCACAGCAACTACATAGCAGTTACAGTCTCCTCGCAAATAACTAACATTGTCAAGCATTTAATCATTGGTTTGCTGTCTTTTTCAGGTGTACTGCCAATTTTACAGGGCCAAGGTGCCAGTTCTATGCAGCATACATCTACAATCCACCTTTCTCTGATGAGGAACCAGGTACAGAAGGTTTATTTTGCACTGTGTGTGAGAGTGTGTCATTCTAATATGAATGCCTTACTGTTTTGGTTGCATTGACATATTCAGGATATAGGGAGGGACAGCTTATAGGGAGGGACATAACCTGAACCTGAATTTGTAGGTTTGAATGAAATTTTCTTAATTGACTTATGCATAACAAGTGTTGCCCCCCAGGCTACGTCAGTGGTGCTCATGTATGAAGACTTTGTAGAGATAGGTATTGTGCTATTCCTTACGGTTGATCGGTTTTCAGAATGATGCTCTGCATTGTTATGCCGCTGCAGATACACAGAAGCTTATAGTTGGCATGCACCAATTCTTAAGCTTTTGACAACATGACAAAATCAATCTCGATGTAACAGCTGAATCGGTGCTTATTTCACCTGTTATTGCCCAGCTCTTCCTTAGTTACGCGCATTGATGCATGCATTGAGGGTGATCTCTAACACTTTAAAATGTTTTGGCTGCCTGAAAGTGTTTTGCTATTCACAGTTTAGTCTAATAGCTGAAATGTGCACAATGCAGCATTTGTTACTTAGTGGCTTGGCTTATCCTGCTGGGTGGGTGCACTCAACAGTAATCTAGGCTTTGCTAGTTTAACTTACAAGGAGGCTCTAGCAATATGACTAATGGCTATGCCAAGACTTATCAAAACCAAAATACCACTGCTCTTTTTTCTAGAATGGCAAAATAAGCCTACGGTTTCACTAGAAGGGTTGACGTAATGGTCTATGCTTCTCTGCACATGCAACTGTATTGGCCTGTTATATGAAACTTGTGATAATACGTCATCTGGTGATTCCTCCCCATGCTCCAGCCCCAAGTGCTTGCTTCAGGCATCGCATGCCGTTAGTTAACTGCCCACGCAAACGAAGTGCTATACATACAAAAGCCGATTTTATCGCACTGCAAACAGCCATTGATACGCTGGTGATAAGGCTAAGCCTGCTAATGTAGCCCGCAACTGACATGAAGCGATGCCTCTTGCATGTATTAAAGCGCTCATTGAATCTTTTCTTTACACAAATAATGCAGTTCAGTGGCGAATTGGTGTGTATAAAAACAGCCATGTGAACACCAGTGCACCAGTGTCTCTCCTGCACGTTGTTTGAACAGCCAGTGCCTTTTATATCTTGACTTGCAGTATTGCCAAATCGATCCCGACACTTGTCTTCTGAATTTCACTCATGAGCATTAATTACCAGTGCTCTGCACACTCTATCTTCATTGCCACTATCGCGTGGGTTTCTCGCTACCCACCCGCCAACAGTCGATGTACGGATGTGGTGAGCGATGGCTTCATTGAATGCAAAATTTTCTGCAAGTTTTCATGCTGAAGTCATAAACGAAGTGCTAATAGGGGTAAAACGAGAGGAGCCTCATTCCTTTTGACCACTTGTGGAACCCTAAAATGCCCTTCCATTGAACCGTGGGTTCTGCGGGACCCAGTTTGAGAACTCATGATCTACAGCCATTTCCTCGGCTGTCTTCATACATATTGAAGGTGTGATGATTATGCCTTGTTAATCAAAAACATGCCTATCTAATGTTCTAGTTTTACCGACTTTGTGCTTGCTGTTCCGCATATATCATTTTGCACCCAGGTTTAATTGTTTGAGGACCTGATCCTTTCTTGAAGCTGCAAGCAGTGCCGCCTTATCTGTGGGCACATATGTAACCGATTTCACTTTCTGCTGCTGAAGAAGCCACAAGGGATCAACAGTAGACATGGCTTAATGCTTGAGCACTTTGGATATTCAGAACAACACCACAGCATTCACATTCACTTTGGCACAAATTTAACATTGCTGAAGTTTCAAAGTATTTGAAAATAATGAATAAACGCATTTGCTTGCATGTGACTGCTTAAAAAATGGTTTTATTGCCATGTGGGGCTGATGTGTGCCATAAAATCCTTTATCTGTCAAGGTTAAATGTTCATATTACCTCAAGTCCAAGTCATGTTTATTACATATTTTAGTTCCGTTACATTCCCTGATTGTGTCATTTTGTTTTTTTTGTTTATACAGGCTTACAGGTACTAAGTATAGAAAAAACATGCTCTTTACTACTATTCAAATTGTAATTTTCCACTTTGCTTTGACCAAAGCAGCAACATTCACAAAATCCTAGTTCTAATTCTTAGAAATATTGTGCAGGACATTTGGGTCATCATAAAAATGCTCATTTTCTCTTATAACATGCTATATATACTTCTCAAGCTATTCAGTTCAAAATCATTTGACCAAATCTATTTTCTTTGAACCTCAAACCTTTAACACTATCATTCTTAATGATCAGCTATCATAGCGGTCATGTCAACAATGGACTATATGTTGCTAACTTCAGCAAATACTAAATTTGTTTCATATAGCTATAACCTGCCAGTGTAAGTAGAAAACTGTCGCTCCAAAATCTTAACCTGAAAACTGCGTGCACAGTTGCATGAGCATGAGATCAAATCACGGGAACACAGCACCACTTTAATGCAATGTATTAATGCAGGCCTATACGTACATTTTTGTGGAGTAATATCTTTTTATTATAAAAAAAACAACATTTTTCAATACTAACAAAAAAAAAAGTCAACAGTGTACAGCAATCAATGATCACGTGGCCAGGTACATTGGATCGTTCATGCTTTTGTCACTAGAGCACAGGTAATTTTTCGCGACTTAAAGGAAGAAACAAAAATATAAATAAAATCCACCTTTCGCGAAAACAACGGGATTGGTTTGAGTCGGTGTAACTGAAAGCCTTTTCGCAAGTGAAGTCATCTCGTTTCGTATTCACTAGGCATGTTGTCGGTCCCTTTGAAGGGACACTAAAGGCAACTATTAACTCGACGTTGATTGTTAATTAGCTGTCCAGAAACCTCGTAGTGTTACTTTTGTACTAAGTAAATGCTTATTTTGAAATGGAGTTTTAGTAATATGGATCAGGTTAGCGCACTTCAAATTAAGCGCTTCTAGCGGAACGTGTCATGTCACTGTAGCCATGCGCAATGTTGCCTGACTTTACTGTGCGGCCACCAACTCTAGTAGCAGCAGAACGAAAGCAGCGGGAGCCACAGCAGCAACAACGGCCATTGAGCAATTTCCTGCCATTGGCTCCGAGATGAAAGGCGTGCTTGGTTCAACTGAGTCCCACTAGATGGCACGACCTGTCCAGTTTAACCAGGCGAAAATTGAATTTTTGAAGAACCACTCACACCATTTCCCATAGTAACGTCCAGGGGTACCTTTTCTTCATGAATCAAACGGAAATGAGCAAGCAGCATTTTATTGCGTCTTTTGATGCACGGAAGGGTCTTTATTTAGTGCTGCTATATCGATTACTAGTAATTGTAGACAATACCCCTCTCGTCATCCTACATGTAGTGCCAGTGTTCTCATGCATTTGCCTTAATTTCTCTTTAAATAGGGCACTGCTGTTGATAATGTCATTTTAGACATTGTCATACATTGCACTTTCACTACGAAGTAAATTATTATTTGACTTTAGTGTCTTTTTTAAAAAAAAAATACTTTAAAAGAGTACCGACACTAATTTGAGGCCTCCCGAGGGGTGCGTTATTCATTTCCATTGCATGCACTATCAACACTTTCCTCACACGGGAGTCAGACGATATACTTTACTTAAGGTTCTCGTCACCCAACATCTCCAAGCCAGCCAGCCTCACTGCAATGGACACTATACCAACAAGTCAACCCTTTGGTTGACTTGTTGCAGCGTAAATCGCAGAAATTGCTGTTGGCGTCTCTGGACGCCAATTCACTCGTCGTCGTTTATGTGAACAATGTGTGACTGCCAGCAAACTGACAGTTGTTGCAAGTAAGTTGAGAGTTGGTTTTCCTGTGACGTCAGACTTGTGTTGAAACGTCACTGTGAAGCCACCCCCTCGATACCGAAACCAGTATTGCTGTTTTAAAGTAGTGTTATTAAAAATATATCCAATGCATTTCAAAGCTGTACGACATTCTTTAGGGTTCTCGACACCCATGGTTTTATTTAGAGCTACAGCCCAAAAATATTTTCAGTTTGTGTCGGTGCTCCTCTAAGCATGACAGAATTCTGCAGACATAGCATGAAGTTCAACATTTTTTTGTGAATAAACATACTTTATGCCTCACAGTAGAAGGGAGCTTTTTCTTTTTGCACATTGTTGTTCCATTGTAAAAAAAAAATCTCTCTCTGTTGCTACTACAGCTTTGTTGTTTACGGCCAGAGTAGAGAAGGTAACTGATGAGCTTCTTGTTTATTGAGTGAAGTACCCTTAATTTACCCAATGCTTGCCAGAGTAAATTCAATAGCTCATTCTCGTATTCACTAATTGTGCTTGAGTTTGTTCCACTTAGCCTGGGCATCTTATAAATTCATGTAAATGGACGGGACCCAGGTGTAGAATGCTTAAGAGCATTGCTATAGATTTGAAATTCCGCGTGTTTGACATAAATGAACTTCAGCTGATTGAGATAAATGAACTTCAGCCGATTGAGATACAATTTTCCATTTTGCAGCTGATGTGAAGATCATAATGATTCCAGTGGTGGTGCTACTTTCTGCATTCCTGCTGATGCTGGTGGTTGCTTGGGCGAAAAGGAGGCATGCTTGGCAGTCCGCTGCAGTCTCTCTCTCTTCTGAAGAGGCCAATCCAGCCTTAGCTGCACGTATGATTGACAGCCAGTATGAAACTTCTTTCTCTGATAATGTGGTAAGTTTTTTTTGTTAATTTGTAGGTGAAGTTGTTAAAAAAAAAACAAAAAAAACCCTCACATGTTTGCCAGCGGGCTGCATTGCAAGTTATTTGTCCTAAAATTTCTGTCCAGTACAGAATGCAAAAATGCAGGTCAGACATGTTTACTTCACCACATACAAAATTTGTGAGCCCTAGGTAGGAGACTTGTGAAAGCACCGATTAACCTAACTGCCATTCACGGGATAGGATAGGTGTTGCATCTGCTGCATTTTTTACCCATCATCCTTTATTCTTGCCAACTATTGGGTTTGAAAACTTTGTAGAAGTGATAACATTTTTTTCAATCTTTCTACTGCAATGTTTGTGTGTTTCTCAAGTTTGTCTTTTTACTATGTGCACCTAATAACAAGGCAGTTGTAGGCAATAAATATCTTCTAGAGGAAAAATTCTTCTATGAAAGCTGAAGGTACACATAGTTATGCTTTTTAACAAAAACAAGAGCTGAGCTAGTTGGTAACATGGCTGGGCAGTATCATAATAGTATCTTAGAGATAGTTTTGAGTATCTGTATTTCTATATTGAAATAAATTTGTAAGATATATTTACATCTCGATAGTGGACTACTTTTATGATGTATAGATTATATCTTAATAGTGTGCAAGACATGGACATCTCATTACTTGTTTTTTAAGCAAATGAGCTTACGGATGACTTTTTGTGCTACAGAAGACTTTTCTTTTTTTTGTGTGTGTGCTAAGCCAAGCCAAGGCACACCGATGGTCGGCGGTACAGGGATGGCTTTGAAGGGTTTCTAATACATGTAGAATGGTCCATGTGGTAAGCGCCTGACACCATTTTTGTTAGGATCACCAAGTCAACATTGTCGGCATCTGTCGATGAGACTTTGCCTCTCCTGACTGGTGCACCACCCTGAATTTCTGTTGGAACAGCCAGCCATTTCGAGAGTTCGCGAGTCTTGTGTTGAGCCTAAACTGGCATTGCCTGAAGATAACCTATTCAACAAGCTATTGTCGCTTGAGTGCAATCAATGTAACATCTTTTTAAGATAAACCCATTGTTTCTTTTAATTGATGTTCATTAGTGATCAGAGTGATATGTTCGACTTAAAACTTCAACGCACTGCAACATTACTGACAGTATTACGCAGCAATAATTGATGTCTTTGTGCAGCATCAGCATTCTCAATCAAATACAGTAGACTCCCTTCAAGACGAACACGAAGGGACCTCGATAATTTGTTCATCTCATCAGGAATTTGTTTCATCCAAAATTTCCCCAAAAACCAAATGCTAAGATGCCAAGAGCGCTCAAATGTGTTGCTCGAACTTACAATGGGCAGGAAAGAAACTAGAAAAAGCATTTATTTGGCTCAGCTTAATAAAAACTATGCTTTCAAGTAGAGTATTTACACTAATCAGAGTACTCGATTTCGCGAGTTCATAATAAATATGCTCATGAATAAATTGCTACCACATTTTCACTATAAAACTGTAGCACGACCCTATATTGACGATTAGAAGAATGAAAAAAGGAGAAACAAGCACAATTTTCTTTCAAAGAAGGGAAAATTTATTCTTCTGGCTGTTCACCTTCCGAGAGGCTCTTTTACTGGCTTTGCGATGACTTTTGGATATGCCTTTATTGCATATCACAACCTTGATGAACCCAATATACGCCAAGTTGCTTATGAAAGTCTGCAAGCTTTTCTTTGAGGTTCGGATATTTTCTATTTTCAGCCCCCAATAACTTCTCCTGAATTACGTGCAGCTGAAGATCTCCGTTTAAGCTACTCATGATCACAAGCCTCAGGCACACACAAAAAAAGACATGACACAGCTATAGTCAGTGTGCGAAATGGCGTCCCTTTGGTGTGCACTTTCATTATGAAAATGGTGCATCACAATTTGCTGCATTTCACTAAGAACAGATATGATCCGTAGAGACCCTGTGCAAAACAATGCAAACTGACCACGTGTGCTCGGGTGCCATTGTGTGACGGCAATGACAACGCATCTGACTCCTCCGATGGGAGTGCTAGTGCCACATGTGTGGTTTCGGTTTCATGCGATTACAATGCACAGACAATCCTTGTTCCCATTTTCACTTTCATTTGGCTTTTTTTTTGGCCCCCCCACTTTCCCATGCATTTTCTCCTCTAGCCAAGCTCTTGTGTTCTGTTTTCCACTGTATTCCAGTTGGAGAACTGAAGAAGACGAGGAGAATACAAAAGGATGAATGCTTGTTGCTTTCTTTGATGATAAAGCGCGCCCTTTCTCCACCTACAGGCTAAGGGGGAGGGAGATACTAGCTTTATGTATAGACATCTCTCTTTCTCCTTCCACGTAGCAATTTGCTTTCGGCTTGCTTTAAGTCTGCACCAGGGAAAATTTTTTCATTTTCCTTTCTCTTGTTTGCCTGAATGCCCTGATCATGACTGTAATGTTCGTTGCGCAGAACCCCCATCTTTGTCGGTCGCTGCGAGAGTTCGTCTTAACAGAAGAGACCTGTGCCCATGCAAAGCTGCTCATTCAGCGAATTTTGGCATGTGCTTACCCTCTCGACAGTGTTATGACAGATTAGCTCTGGTAAAAGAATTCACTAATTGCTGTACAGGTGTGACATAAGAGGTCCTTCTACTAGCTGCAGATGCTTCTCTGTAGGACAGATGGACCACTGTGCTAACCAGAGATTACTCTCCCCGCAGGGGCGTCTGCGCAAGCAGGCGTTTGGTGTTTAGCGACACCACAGACCCGAGCTAACGGGGGGTTTCGACCCCCTCCCACGCCTAGCCGTGTCCGGGGAAAAGGGGATCCTGGGGGTTGAGCCAATGCTGGGCTATTGGACCTTTAAGGCCCCCCAGTGGCAGCAACACACCCCTTGGGCCCCGGCTTCACGCAGACGGCACCCCTGAGCTGACCCACCCAAAAAAAACCGGCAGTCGCCTTTTCCTTTCTCTCCCTCTCTTCGTCTTTCCCTCTCACTTTCAATCTTTCCTGTTCTCTCCTCTCTTCAATTTACTTCTGTTTTTCCTGGCGGCAAGGATTAACCTTGTGTGGCTATCTAAACTAGGGTAAACCATACTGGGTTATAGTAACTGCGTACTGCTGGCGTTGCGCAGACATGTCCATATGCTCTGCCATGTCCCCTTGTTGGACTCCGTCGTGGGTGGTAGGCGCCGTTACCGAAAAATCCAAAATTTTCCATGGGATCCTCGACTCCCTCTCTAACTGATCGTGCCTCGAAAAGGGTATGCACCGACACAACTTCACTACTTTGGCCCAAAAACAGAGAAACTTTTCCAAAATATCATGTCCTCCACTGCGAACAATCATCGACAAAAGCTAGAGCAATCTCGCCCTTCCTTGTGGCCAAGTGCTTGAGAGAGACCATTGGAACCGGTTATAAGGCCATGAAGATGGCAAGTGGAGATTTGCTTCTCGAATTAAAAGACAAGGAACAGTACAATAAACTCTCACACCTTGTAGCCTTCGGTAACATCCCCGTCTCTGTGAGCGCACAACGTACCATGAATACAGTGAAGGGCGTGGTATCGGACGAAGATTTGATGACACTGAGTGAAGAAGAGCTCCTTGATGAATGGAAGGACCAAGGTGTAATACATGTCCAGCGCATAAAAATCAGACATAACAACGAAATAGCAACAAAGCACTTGATACTCACCTTCAGCTCAACCACTTTACCTAATACTCTCAAAACTGGCTATATAAAACTTCATGACCGACCCTTCATTCTAAACCCGAGGCATTGTTTCAAATGCCAGCGATTTGGTCATGCATCCCAGAGATGCCGAGGGCAGCTGATGTGTGCTAAGTGTGGCACAACCGACCACAGTGCTGATGAATGTAGTCATGACGAGGTCCTCTGTGCTAACTGCGAAGGTAGCCACCCCGCATACTCCAGAGCGTGCCCAGTCTGGAAAAAAGAAAAAGAAATAACTATAAAAGTTAAGGAAAATATCACATTCAGGGAAGCAAGACAACAAATCTCGTTATCATGGGCCCTAAAAACACCTTTCGCCGAAGTGGTGCAACGAGGGGCGGCACCACAAAGGCCCTTGGCAGTTGCCCGGACCGCGCCTAGCGTGCCGAGGCCAACGCCACAAGCCCCTACTGTGGGAGCAGCCAGCACTGCCCTGCCCACATTTAGCCTGTCCACACCAGTGACCTCTACAAGCTCTGGCAGCAGCCAGGGCAATCACGAGGCCAAGGGGGCTTCACCGACCCCCAGCTCGGTGGGGACAAAGACTTCGTCGATCGAGGCGAAGTCTAAGCGATGCACAGATCGCTCTCTAGAGCGGGCGTCCAGTGCCTCGCAAGAGGCTATGAACACTAGTTCAAGCCAAACGGCGCAAGAAGCGCCGAAGGAGCGGCGAGCTTCTCTCGACCGCCCCAAAAAAGACAAAACGCCGATTACAGGTCCTGAAAAAGGCCCTGTAAAATGAGCCAATTTCAGTCTTATCTGTACACAGCACTTTTTCCTTTTTTTTTTTTCCACTATGGACAAAATCATACAGTGGAACGTAAGGGGAATACTTAGAAATTTAGATGACGTCCAAGAACTTCTGAGTAAGTTTAACGCGAAAGTGCTATGTGTGCAAGAATTGCACTTAACTCCTAAGCACAAGGACTTCCTACGGCAATATATTATTTTCCGAAAAGACCGGGAGGATGCTGTTCGACCATCTGGCGGTGTGGCCATTATAGATGATCAAAGTATAGCATGCCAACATTTGAAGCTCCAAACGGCCCTTGAGGCAATGGCCATTCGAGCTGTACTTTTTAATAAACTCATTACCATATGTTCTGTGTACATACCACCGCATCAACAGCTACACAGACGTGATCTAGAATCATTAATAGATGAACTGTCAGAGCCGTATGTGGTTCTAGGTGATTTTAATGCACACAATGTTCTGTGGAGCGATGCTCACTGTGATGCGCGAGGTCGTCTCATTGAGCAGCTCCTTTTCTCTTCTATGTCTCTTAAATATAAAGGAGCCTACGTATTTTAGCCTTGCAAACAACACGTACTCCTCCATAGATCTTAGCATTTCATCACCGTCCCTTTTACCTGTTTTTCAGTGGAAGGTTTTTAAAAACCCTTATGGAAGTGACCACTTCCCAATCATTCTGAGTGCGCCGAACAAAGATAAACTACCCCCGCAGGTTCCTCGATGGAAGATTGACTCAGCTGATTGGGAAGGGTATAGAACTCTTACACACATGACGTGGACTGGGCTGTATGCCCTGACCATAGATGACGCTGTCACGTATTTTACAGCTTTTATACTTGATGCCGCATCTAAATGTATTGCCAAAACAAGCGGCATGTCTTCTAAACGGCGAGTCCCATGGTGGAACGATGCATGCAGGAAAGCACGGACCACTCAGAACAAAGCATGGGCGTTGCTTCGCGATTCCCCAACAGCAGAAAACCTGGAAAATTTCAAGCGGATCAAATCGAGGCAAGGAGAACGCGTCGACAAGCTAGACGAGAGAGCTGGACAAAGTTTATATCGAGCATCAACTCATACACGGATGAGGGAAAAGTGTGGAATAAGGTAAAGAAAATTAAGGGCCAACAAATGTATTCCGTTCCACTAGTAAATAGCCTGGGGAAAGCTTGGAGGATCAAGCCAACTTTCTTGGCACACATTTTGAACACATATCGAGCTCCTCACACTACTCCGAATCCTTCCAGAATTGCAAAGCACGAATAGAAAAACAAAAGTTAGAAAGAAAATCTGCAAGAAATGAGGCATATAATGAACCATTCTGCTTAGCAGAACTGCGAACAGCACTCAGCTGCTGTAATACATCTATTCCAGGTTCTGACACTGTAATATATGCGATGCTGAAGGAACTACCCTCCGAAACTAAAAAAACCCTCCTCTCTCTTTATAATTGCTTATTATGGTTTTCAGGTGTGATCCCCTCCTCCTAGAAGGAGGCTGTTATAATTCCAATTTTGAAGCAGAGAAAGGATCCCTCTACTGTATCAAGTTACAGACCTTTAGCGTTAACAAGCTGCCTCTGCAAACTATTTGAAAAAATGATTAATTGCCGCTTACTCCACTACTTGGAAACAAATTGCTCGACTCGTACCAGTGCGGGTTTAGAGAAGGCCGATCTACCACCGACTATCTTATACGTATCGAGGCACACATACGTGAGGCTTTTGTTCATAATCAGTTTTTCTTATCTGTGTTCCTCAACATGGAGAAGGCCTACGATACTACATGGAGGTTTGGAATATTGAGAGACCTCTCACACATAGGTATACACGGTAATATGTTCAGTGTCGTTGAAAGCTATCTGTCTGATTGTACATTCCGCGTTAGAGTGAGCAATGTTCTGTCCCGAACATTTGTACAGGAAACCGGAGTGCCACAGAGTGGGGTGCTCAGCTGTATGCTCTTTATTATAAAATGACTTCTCTCCATCTGTACATCCCACGTAATATCTTTTATTCAACATATGTCAACGATGTGCAGATAGGTTTTCATTCGTGTTCTCTTGGGATCTGTGAGCGACAGGTTCAGCTTGCCCTTAACAGGGTATCCAAATGGGTTGATGAAAACGGGTTCAAACTGAACCCACAGAAAAGCACCTGTGTCCTTTTGTCACGAAAAAGAGGCTTGCACCCTGATTCTGAAGTGGTCGTTAAGGGTGAGCGTCTACCCGTAAACACAGAACATAAGTTCCTAGGTATAATTTTAGACGCGAAGTTAACCTTTGTACCTCACATAAAACATCTTAAAAATAAATGCTTGAAAACAATGAATATCCTAAAGGTGCTGTCACGAACAACGTGGGGCAGCGACAGAAATTGCCTCGTGAATCTGTATAGAAGCCTTATAAGCTCACGCCTTGAGTATGGGGCAATAGTCTATCACTCTGCCACACCAAGCACTCTGAAAATGTTGGACCCTGTTCATCATCAAGGCATCTGCCTGTCCACAGGCGCCTTTAGAACAAGCCCAGTTGAAAGCCTTTATGTGGAATCGGACGAGTGGTCACTTAATCTGCAGAGAGCATATTCTTCCTTCATATATTTCCTTAAAGTAAATGTGAAAAGTGAGCAAACCGCATACTCCACCATCAACGACCTGTCCAGCTCTCAACTTTTTTGCAATCGGCCCGCAATGGCACGCCCTTTCTCGCTGTGTGTTAGAGATCTAGCTGAAGAAACAGATGTCCCACTGCTTGAATACCACCTCAGCCCCCCCCCCCAGGTTATAGAATGTGACACATCTTTCATAGCTGTCACAAAGCGTACCTCCCCCATACACATTCGGATGTATTTCCTAGAGCTGCAACATAAATATGACTGTCCAGAATATTATACTGATGCATCCAAGTCCCATACTGGCGTGTCCTATGCGGCGGTCAGCCCATCCTTCTCGGATGCCGGCGCTCTGTCCACCAGCACAAGCATTTTTACAGCCGAGGCTTACGCGTTATTCATAGCCATTAAACACATCAAAGAATTGAATACGCCAAGGTTAGTTATATACACAGACTCCCTGAGTGTCATAAAAGCGTTGAAAAATCTTAAAAAACACAGAAACCCTATAATTATATCCCTCTATTCAATACTCTGCGCGGCCTATGCTTCCAAGCAACATATTGTCGTGTGCTGGGTGCCAGGACACCGCGAAATCGAAGGAAATGTGTTGGCTGACCAGCTCGCCATGTCAATCAACGGAAGCACTGCCAACTCTTCAGTTGCTGTCCCTATAATGGACCTAAAACCAAACATACGAAAAAAGCTCGGGGCTTACTGGCAGAAGTTATGGGATCTACAAACTCGTAACAAGTTACACTTGATCAAACCATACCTCGGTAACTGGCCACCCACGTCGAAAACGCGCCATACAGAGGTCAGTCTATGTCTGCTTAGAATAGGACACACACACAGCACGCACACACACCTTTTGTCCGGTGGTGACCCACCTAGCTGTAACAGATGTGGCCGTCCACTTACCGCACTCCACATACTCCTTGAATGCTCTGAGCTAGAGGCTTGCAGGAAAAGACATTTTCCAATAGCGTACAAGGAACTCGTACCCCTTCACCCAGCTATGATTATTGGTCGCGAACCTCTTTTTAAATATAATGCATTGAAATGCACTCTTATAGGAAGTAAATACTTTCCATGTTATCTACTCAAGTGATCGGTAGCACGGCCTCTGAAAGGAGGCTGCTGCTGCGGATGCTACATCCAAAGAGAGCACCTGTCTCCCGGCCCTTGGGACCAAGGGCGCTGGCGAGGTATCGGCGCTAATATAACACTCCTATTCTATGGTGTCATGATAACTTAAGACTCATTCTCACCAGGCATGCTTCATTTCACTTTCATGATTTTAATAAATATAAGTCTTAAGCACCTTTAGAGCGCAGAATCTTGGGCCCTTTTACAGCCATTTAACATAGCCATTGCTCTGATCCGATATCATTTCCTGGCGCTCTTTGGCCATCAATGGCCCTTGCGTCATTAAACAACATATATAATCATCAACCAGAGATTACTCAAACTTAAGAGATTTCTAACTGGAGTCTCGCCTTTAAAATAATCTTTACATTGTTAAGAGTGCAAGTGCATGTCAAAATTCGATGAGTCTGCAGCTTTGTATGTGCACAGGAGTAAAGAAAAGCATCTGACGATTGAGGCATAGCTTATCAATAATACTAATGATAGTGCATGTGTGATGCAACTGCGGGATCGATAAGTTTGCCTATTGCCGAGTACCTTCATCGACAATTTTCAAAAATTGCCTTTAAAAATGAGGAAATAAAAGAAGCTTTTTGTTTTATGCCAATATAAGTGTTCATTAGCCGGAAAGCACTAGAACTGGCTGGGCTATGGGTAGCTCTGGTAGCTACTCTGCATATTTGTATAATTGCACCTTTTGTTCCCTCTTCCCCATGCTGACAAAATGCACCAAAGCTTAGTAGATCAACTCTTAATTCAATGTTAAGCTGGGCAATTGAACAGTGTATGAATCTTGTCGAAAATTCTGACCAAAGCTTTTCTTCCTTTTGTGCATTCTGGGCAGAGCTGGAATGGTAAGTTGAAACCTGGCTGCCTAATGATCAAATTAAGATTATAGCATGGCTTTGTTTGTCTATAGCCAGTTCTTCTTGACTGATTTCATTTAAGTAATGATGAACATGATGTCATATACTAGCAGGTATTAAACAGAACCTTACTCTATATCATTTTCTGTTATTTCCTTCGCATGAGAGTTGGCATTTGGATGCTTGAGTGTGGCCAACAGTCCCATCTAATTCAAACACATGGAGCAGCGTGTAAATTTTCAGTGTTCTTACTGAGATTCCACAGTTACGCAGAATAGGGTGAAAAGACACATGTGCAAGTGTGTTCCCATGTTCACAAGTGCAATACTTGGAGCTAGGGGTGTGTAAATATTTTTTGAATAGTGTTCGATATTCGATTTGATGCACACTGAAACTTTACGATTCGAACTTCCCGAAGACAAATACAGTCGATTGACAATAGCCCCTTTAAATTTTTAATATGCTTCACACGACGACACTCCCACATCATGGCATGCCTTTCACTCTGCTACAATCGGAAATGTACTTACTCAAAAAATGCTGGTTGCAACATGGATGTGCGCTGCGCTGATACAGTGACCCCTTCATATTTTTAATGTGCTTCACTGCACCACACTAATATTGCAGCAAAGCTGCCTTTAGAGATTTGGTACAGCTGTAAATGGAAAGGCTTTTGAAAGCACTGTATATAGCTAAGGTGGTGCTTTAATTTATGTTGTTTCATACCAGAAAGTTTTCAAAAATCGAAGATTTTCAGTAGCCGACATTTCAGAGGTTTTATACATCGTCTTCATGGCAGATTAGCAACTCTGATTTCAAAGGGAGCATGCTCTTGTTCGCTAAATCAGTTAGGACTCCACAGAAGTTAAAGAGGGTGAAGGTGGGGGAAGTGGCACCTTTCTTTTTCACATGTAAAGTGCTAAGGCACCACCTTAGTTGCACCATATCATGCAAGTAAATACCATTTGGCCTCCGCATTGCCTCATCCTTGGTAAAACAACTAGGGCACCAACCTAGCCAAAAAAGCTTGCAGAGGATCTCTAAGTACATTCTTGTGAGATGCTCCTATCGCACAACAATGTACTTGGGGATCCTCTGCAATCTTGTTTTTTGTAGTTTCACTTTGAAGTATTCAAAAAATATTAAACAAATATTTGACAGTTATCTGAAAAATATTTGTCACTCTCAAACTTGTAATGTTCAAATTTGCTTTGCACCCAAAATTTTACTATTTCCACAGCTCTACTTAAAGCTCTTGCAGCTAAGTCTATCCAGTAGTTTACAAGTGTAAAGTGGTGCACTGTTTTATTTTTATTATTTTATTTTACCCTCAAGGTACATAACAGAGGGGAGGGGCTATCTTATATGCATATATAATAAGCAAAAAATAATATTGAACTTGACAAGGGCTACACAACATATAACCTAAAAAGCACAAGAGTACAATAATACACACAGTAAATATACAGTGATTCACAGTAGTACAAAAAAAGAGAATTTTACAAAGGCTAAAAGTAGGTATTTAATTAGTTAACAATGCATTTTTAAAATGTATGGGGTCTTGAATACTTGTCATAGAGCCAGGAAGCTGGTTCCATTTCCTAGACATCTTAGGTAAAAATGACAATAAATGGGCTATTGTATTACTCTTGGGCACCTGAACCTTCTGACAATGGTCGAGACGTGCTGATATGAAAGATGGGGCATGTATCAACAGTGAAGATATGTGTGGGTTATAATAGTAAATTTTATGATAAAGACATAGGAGAGAATGTTTCCTGCAAACAGCAAGTAAAGGAAGTTGTAATGATGCTTTCATTGTGGTTACACTGGATGTTCTATAGTAATTAGGTAAGATGAAACAGGCAGCACGGTTTTGTATTGCCTCTATGCGTTGGGTTAATGCAATAAGGTGTAGGTCCCACAACGACGACGCATACTCAAGCTGTGGGCAGACGTATGTGGTGTATAAGAGTTGTTTCAAACCGAAGGGCAATGCGTGGAAGTTTTTGCGAAGGTAACCTAGAGTACGGTTTGCTTTAGTTGTGATATGTTCAATGTGTTTATGCCAAGATAAGTTGGTTATATGTATACCTAAGTACTTGTGTGATGTTACTGACTCTAATGGTTTGTTATTTATGAGATAGGCAGAATCTGTCATAGTAGTACGTGAAATTCACAGAGCCTTGCATTTGCTTATGTTTGATTCCATGTGCCAAGTACCTCACCACTCATGCACAGTGTTCAAATCAGCCTGAAGAATGGCGAAGTCAGTGGTGCTAGTTATTTTGTGGTACATGACACAATCATCTGTAAACAAAGAAATATGTGAGACAATGTTAGTAGGCTAGTCATTGATGTAGATATGGAATAATAAAGGACCTAGTACGGATCCTTGTGGCACTCCAGACATGCATCACAGGTGAAACTGTCATTGTCAGAAACTCGCTGAATGTGGTTAGTCAAGAAAGCTTCAATGCATTTAATTACAGCAGGGTCAATGTTAAGTATTTGTAGTTTATGTAAGAGTAGGCTGTGGTTTACTTTGACAAAAACCTTAGCAAAATCGAATAACACAGTCAGTAAGAAAGGCAGAGTCAACATTATTATGCAAATCAATAGTGAACAGTAGAAGCTGAGTATCACATGAAAATTTGTTATGAAAGCCACGCTGAAATGTAGTAAAAAAAATTATCCTCAAGAAAACAGTAAGGTGTGAGTATATTACATGTTCCATTATTTTGCTTCGTACTGATATACTAAGTGATATTGGTCTATGTAATTATGTGGTTTTGACGTATTACTGGATTTATGAATCTGAATGACTTCTCTAGTTTTCCAATCGCTGGTAGTAATCCCGTATTAAGTGATTGAGTCAAAATGCGTTCTAATATGATAGAAGAATACTCCTTTATGTTTTTACGAAATTCAGTTTATTTCGTCGACGCCACAAGAAGAAGAGAGTTTTAACTTCTTGATTATTGCGCAAATTCCAGAAGAATCAAATGTAATGGGTTTCACCGGAGAGTGGGTATATTGGCGAAGGAGGTGATAATCATGAATAAATGTGCGTGAGAAGGTATTTACGAATCTGCCGTTTAATGTAGCTGCGCAGTCATTATCTGGAATTGAAGCACCAGATGGTGTAGTAGAGGTAATTCGTTTCAATCTTTTTGCTTAATTGTATTCCAAAATCGTTCCGGGTTTGTTTTAAGTATGTTAGGAAGAATGGTGTTGTAAAAAGTGAATTTCGTTGTTCTTTGTACGGACAAGTAATGTGCAACAGCTTCTTTGTACAAGAACCAGCGGTCCGAAGTGTTGGCTTTTTTTTTTTGCATTACGATATTGTCACTTTTTCTTGTAAGCTGAATATTAAACCACGGAGCTGAGCTGCTACTGCGTACACGTCATAGGGGAATATATCGTTTGATAAATTCCTGAATTTTTAAAAAAATGTGTTCCAGTTCGCTTCAACTGTGCGTTTGAGATAGTGAGATGTGAAGTCTTCCATGAAAATGACCAGTTCGGCATTTATAGCTGTGTAGTTTCCTAGATAGTGAGATGTGAAGTCTTCCATGAAAATGAGCAGTTCGGCATTTATAGCTGTGTGGTTTCCTTTCTTGCAATCTCTGATGAATTTTGAACTGTCATGTTGGGAAGGTCGTGCTATTGTTAGCGTGAAGTGCAAAGTGTGGCGATCACTTAAACCCGGTAGATGTGTTATTGATGAAGTGATATCAACTGCTGATGTTAGTACCAGGTCGAGAAGCAATGAAGTATTATTAGTGACAGGTGTTGGTAAAGTAACTGCCTGAAAAAGACCAAAATACAAACATAAGTTGATAAAATGTTCAGATTGTGTGCAAGAGGGCTGTGAAAATGGGGATTCACATGCCCAGTTAATGTGTGGGAAAAGGGAATGCCAGCACACTGTTCTTCCCAGCTGTGGCACAAGTATTGAGCAGGTGCTATAGTGCTGTGGGTGTTGCTCAGTTTGTATGGTCTGTTGCTGTTTCTAACATCTGCTCGGATCTTTGTGAAGCAAGCTACTGATCCAATTATGCAGTTTGCAGGCAACTGCCTGGTCCATCACGGATAGCCTGGGGAACATCAGGCCGGAAGTTACATTCAAAATCGGAATCAATGTTATTGTAATTAGTACAAAGGTTACATAGTGTTCACATACAGGAGGAGGTCCCGAAGTCATACACTGGATTGAAACCTTTTGAAAATAAATATGCTAGGTTACAGCATTTAAAAAAATGTGCATTATGAAATGTGCAATTAGAAATGGTTGAAGTTCAACAGAAATGAATTACACCAGAAAAAAAAAAGACCACATAAAGTGGCAATAATGAAGTCATTAAAAACAATACACAATAAACAAGATTACTTAGATATTTATAATCAGATTGAGAGTAAATAATTTTGTTTCTTTAATTCATGAATTTTTAGTGTTTTCATTTTGATGGCTATGGAGTTCCAAACAGTGATGAAAAAAAGTATGCTGTTCTTGTTATAATTAGCATTTATTTTGGGTAAGACAAAGTTGTCATAGCATGCAAACCTTTGTGATCATCTTCAATGTACCAACCGTGCAAGACAGTTATTAGCAAGCCATACTATATTTTCTGATTGCTCCATGATAGATGATGACGGCAAAGCACAGCTGCAAGTTCGATTATCTTTGTGCCTATGTTGTAACGAATACCTGTGCATTGAAACACCACTTCAGCCGGTGTGTTGGCCAAGCAGACAAGTGTATCGAAAGCATATTCAGTGACGTGAAGGAAGATCTACATAAGTAATCATATGTAGAGCTTTTGTAGTTGCATTGACATGTTCAGCATAATAAACACTTATGTAGTTCACATTTCCCACCGTGCAAACTCTGAGTTAATATTTTTGGTAGAGCACCTACTGCACTGCCTTAACCGGACCTCAACAATGCACTTCTTTCATGCAACTGTGGGTATCCACGAGCATGGTAGACATTTTGGATGGCAGGCATTTTTTTTTTAAATTGCCCACAAAAAGCGACTACAATAATGCTTTTGAAGCAGTAAAAATCAATGCTTGTCAGAATGAAGCTGTGTGAACAGAGCAAATTTGCTATTGATAGTTTACTTTACACATGAAAATTGGCTGACCGATGAACAAAAGCACTTAACAAATGTAAAGCTTTGTAGATTTGGCTCCTGGCTGTCCTCCAGCATGATTTATACGAGCTGCCACTGCTACGAGCTTGGTAGCAGATGCTAGCTAAGCAAAGTCTATGGCACACCATGCTGCCGGTGCACTTTGCATAACAGTTGCCACTGAACAGTGGCACAGGCCACACATGTCCTGGTGTTCCTTCAACCTTTTTGCGTTCTGACCGAATCTTTTACTCACTTTCCGGCTGTTCGCTGCCAAAAATATTTCGCACCAGTTTTGAGCGCCACAATTAAAATGGCAACCCCAGCAGTTCAACTGGGACAGCCTCCAACCTTTCAGGCTGTGAATCTGGAAATCTGCTATAATAGATGTACAAAGGGCATAGTCCAAGTGAAATTGGCACACTTGCACATAGCATTTTACCAGCAACATGCTTATTATGCATGCCAGGTGGAGCCTAGCTTATTTGCATTTGTTTATTTTTGAATGCTTCTGCCCAGTTTGCCATGGACTAAATGGACCTAGCCACCTAGTTATTTTTTCATGTTTACTTACGCTTGCTTATGTCTTTGTCATTTTTTCTTGACTTCCCTCTTTATCTTCTGTAATCTTCCTTTTCTTTTTTCCCTCCTCCTGAAAGAGTTAGCTAGAGTTACTGTATATGCTACCTTTATGCATATACAGTAACTCTAGAGTTGGCAAATGTTGGGCCCCACCAGGTGCAAGTTGGCAGCTTGCTCTCTCGCCCGCTTTTCTCTGTGTCCTTGTGTGTCTGTGTATGCAAATCAAATAATAATTGTTATTGATGGAAAAATGAGGTCATGTACTAACATTTTACTGAACGTTTCAATGATTTAACTATTGGAGGGCTAATTCCAAAATGAGATCACTCAAGTATCTTGTATGATGGCTCATGTGCCAATTGATAACACTGCAGCAACATAACATTCTGATATGAAGAAAAAAAAGTCGTGGTTCCCTGGAAAATCGTGAAATATTATGTGGCAGAGAAATTTGCCTTGATGTAAGGCTGCACATAAGCACTGTGTATGCTCCTGTGAACCCTTGACATTGCAAGGTGATGTTTGCATGTAGGTAATCCACACCTTTACTGTACATTATGAACTTCTGATGTATGTTACACATTCAGAATATGGTACACATCTGCACTCTCTGCATTGCGACATGCACTCTCATGCAATGCAGATCGTGCAGTTTATGACAAACATTGTGCAGGACCCAAGAACAATCTATATTAGCGTTTGTAATTTTTGTTGCCATAATGTATATTTTGTGGCACTTGCAAGTGCTAATTCAATTTGCTATAGTTAGGGCTCAGTGTTCTATAAATCCCAGGTTATCCGAAATTCAGTTAAATTTTTCATTCATTCAGTACTCCAATATCTTATGCCAAGTGATATCTGATCACAATACCACTGGAACACACACAACACATTTTAGTTGTTCAGAAGGCTTTGAATGTGCACTCATATTACACACAAAAATATTTAAATGCAAAATACCCACGTTTTTGTGTGCCATGGCCACGGACTTGTGAACAGCCACTGAAAATTAATCTGCTAGCGCAAGTGCGGCAAAGAAGAAAGAGTGGTTATGACGTCGTTACTTGTTGTACCAGCTGCAGTGTGGTGACTTTAGGGAAGTGGGGGGGTCACCACCGAGTCACTTGCAAGGGTGTCAGTGCCATGAGATGTGGCATACACCGCTGGATAGTGCATGCAAACTTCAAAATTCATATAAAATACCTTCCAGTCATACTACTCGCTGTTGATATTTTGCAGATGATATATACATGTTCACTGGAATCGATCTCGCCTGTGAAATTTTGTCAGTGTGTCTTCAAATGCATGATGGTTGTGATCTATGAGATACTGCTGACATGAGGTAAAGTTTATATCGGCTGGGTAATATTGGCTGCCAAAATCTGAGTTTATCAATAAATACAAATTGTGAACATTTAGTCCCGAGTGTTTATCAGATTTTTTAATTTATCTGAAGATGTGAGCCCTAGCTACAATCAAAGCAACCGATACCACACTTTGGGTTCTGTCATAGCAGTCAAATACACTCCATTAAAATAAGAGTAGTCAGTTTTTATATTTACTTCTTCATGAGCAATAATTCATTATACAGAGCATTGACATATTTTCATTTTCTGCTTACTTGCAGTTGTTGATGGGGACTAACTTGGCTTTTGAAGACACAGAGCTAACTCCTGGAAACGGCAACGTGCTCTATGGCCTTGCATCATTTCCCCGAATGCCCTTGGCAACAATTTTAAAGGGAAGGTGGCAACATCCAGTGTGATCATCCTCATTTCTATTGTGTTGTAGCATCAAAGTTTCTGGGCTGCAGCTTTTGGACTGCCATTGCATTTCTAAAAGCTTAAATGGCCAGTTCTTTCTTCAGTGCATCATTCAGTATGATTGCTACATTTATTTGCCATTTTTTTGCTGCTCTTTTACAAGAATGACTGAGTCACATATAAACAAGGTACATGAAAACAATATCGAAGGTTTTTATTTTTTAATCTTAAATATGAGCAAGGAGTTTGACACGAGTAACTGTCAGTATGAACGTGTCACTTCTTTTGCTTTTTTTTTCTGGCTGCAGCATGATGAGGGTAAAGGTCAGTAAAACCAAATTGGAGGTTGCAATGTGATTATTTTATAATTCAACACATCTGTTACTAGCTGCTACTACTAAAAGAGAGGTGCAACAAGGCAAGTATTCTATAACACAGTATGCAGAAGCGAAGTCAAGTTCGGGTGCGAAGCTTCTTTTTCTAGTGGTAGAGAAAGGTCATGTTCACATTGACTTAAGGCAACCACCAGAACAAGGCAAGCTTGTTGCTAATGTTCCCCCACTTGAGAAGGTAATAGTTATAGGGAGACTAAGCAGTGACCATCATTAATTGCCCTGTTGTGTCAACACTGGTCACTTTTTTTTAGCCTGTTCACACTGCATTTGATATGAACCAGGATTGTTTGCCTTATGCACTGGTACTGTGCCGCCTGAGGCAAGATGAAGATGACATTAATATTCAGTTCTGAATCAGATTTGCCTGTTGGTGGCATGTGTAAGCTGTACACTTTGGATGTTAAAACTTTCCTTATAACACAAGCACTTGTTTATTGCACAGCAACACATTTCAGTTTTATAGCTTGTATTCTTAAGAAAAGCTTGGCATTTTTTAATTTGATGGAATGAAGTGCCTGTAACAATGTGTACATTGATTGTGTGGACACATGCACACTTTTCAGAGTGTAGAAGATGCACATAATTGCTCCTACCTTACTTGTACCGATTGAGATCTCACCCTTGTTCGACGGCTTCAAGCATAAGGCACAAGAATATTCATATTCTGCATTCTGAAAACGAGCGGTTGTCTATAGATGGAGCAGCTAGTCACAGATGATGTACAACATTATTGTTGCGTACTTAAACTTCTCTGTTGCATAGAATATATTTTAGTTGAAAGGATGGCCAAAGCTAAGAACTTTATGTACCGAACTGTCCAATGGAAAGTCCAAATTGTGTGCTTGCTTCAGTTCATACTGCAAAAACTTATGCACGATGTCCAAGATTATCCATATAAGCTTTCTTTATACATGACGGTAATAAAACAGTAATAAGCTGTTATACACGATTGCCTGTATAAAGAAATTTCATGTAGTGCTAGAGTTGAAAAATTGTGTTGGTCACCCGTGTGCACAGTTGCAATTTTATTTCTTTTAGTGCATATACTAAAGCACCCATTATTATTGTTTAAATAATGTTTATTTGCAGTTAATTAGACATTTGTGGCAAGTCATGAATGCAAGCAGTGATTCAGGGTCTGTTACTAAGTTAATTTCTGCTCATGTGATGTGCAAAGTGAAACATTGTGTGTGTGTTCGACGTAGTTGAAGCAGCATGGCCATTTTTTAGTGTGTCCGAAATCAAGAAAGCGAAAAAAAAAAAAACGAGAGTGCAATGTTTGTCATGACCAGCAAGAATCTGCATTACTTTCTGAATTGGTGCAGCAAAAAAGATAAACTGTGGTGTCTCTACAGTGTGTGAGAAATGAGGGCATTAATTCTGCCATGAATCTACTACCTGATATTTATTATTTACCAGCTTATGCTATTCAATGTGTATGATCATTTTTGAGCGATTCAAGCCCTGACAAAGGCGAACACTCATTCCAAGAAAGAATAGTGGATTTTGTGCTTTTGTCAGGCCTTGACCACTTGCATTTTAATGAGCTCTCATTTTTGTAGATCTGTTGTATACAAAATAGTTTTCCTCTGGTATCTTGTTATAGTCCTGCATCCCTGGCCCCGCCTTTTCAGTTCCAAAACGTTGTAGATATGTCTAATCAGTGCTTTTTTTGTTACAGCTACTGTACTGGGAGATTTATTGAATAGCTTGTTGTGAAATTTCAAATTATTTCTGCAGAAATATACCCTCCACAGAAAACATTTCTGTGCACGTTTCTTTATTCAAATGGCATACCAGCAGTGTTGCCCTTGATTTTGGAGCTGTCAATCAGCCCGAGGGCATATAAGGCCACGAGTGCAGCACTTTGCTCTGCATATTTCTTGTTCTTCTCTCTGCAAGCATGCATAAAGGCTGTGAGTAATTATACTTAAATCAAAGCACCCACACACAAGCTGATGTAACCTTCCAGAGATTCATTTAGCAGGCAGCTAGTAGTGCAATTTATAAATGAACACTAACTTCAGAGCTATACGGTGGACGTGGTGAGAAGACCTGGAAAAGGAGTGTGCAGCTAATATTAATTTTTTATGCCAACATCAAAAGGTTACTGGTAATTTATGGTAAGATTCTCAACATTTAATATAACTTGGGTGCCTATATGCAAAATTCAATTTTCTCCATTTCACTGAATAGAAACCAAAGGTTTCATACTGATCAAGCGGTGTAGCACAGAAAATGTAGCTATGAGCCAAAGCATTCCACACATACATAGCATATCCCTTGATGTGCTGTCTCAAGCACATAACACATCTGAGAGTTTTGTCCAAATTAATGTTTTCACATATGCATATAGGTGAATCTGGTTACATGGTGAGCTTAAGCAGCCCTCTGACACATTCATCAGTTTGCTTTTTTTTTTCTATAGCTAATCATACGATAAATATGTAGAACAATACAAATTTATGCCTTTTAATGCCAGGCCAAACAGTCAAAGTATTGAATGCAACAATGAGAAGAGCATTGATGCGGCTATATCACACTGAAATGAATGCTAAAAAAAATCGCCGGGCCTGCGCAGAACGCACAGTCACAGCAAAAGCCGGAAAAACAGCCTTTCAGAGTCTTTTGTAAACACTCTTTGGGTAAATGCTAGAAGCACAGTTTCTGAGTGCCCACTACACCATAGATAACTTCTTTGTACTAATAGGCCAGCATTCACTATTCTATCGGTCGTCGTTCTTCGGGGAAGCGTGGCATCCGCTAAACACTCGCGAATTTTGTTTCATGCAGTGGCTGAAGACGAAAATTTACGCCTGAAGTGGGTATGTGCCACAGTTGATGGGTGAAGAACAAGCTTTTGTAATGGTTTGGAGCATTGGATGGCCCACTCGTTATGCAATTCGCATTGTGTGAGGCCTGGTTATTCTTTTTCTGTTCTAAAATGCCTTATTTCTCATATTAACACAATTCCTTTCCCAACATCAAGTCAGTGCCACGTCTCTGTCGCTCTACTTTTTCCTATTTCAAAGTTTTGTGGCTTCTTTTGTAGTTAACAAAGTATGTACCAACTTGCCCAACAAGCAACTCTCCTGAACTGCCCAAGGCAACACACCAGTCCCAAGCACTGGCGTGGCTCAGCGGTAGCATACTGGGCTGGCACACAGTGGACCAGGGTCCGAATCCCACTACGTCCTTGACATTTCTTAGTTTTTCTTATTTTGTGCGATAAAGGTTACAGACACAGGCAGCTGCGGACAACTACGGCGTCGCACGTGCCTCGTGTTGTCATCTCATAGCACCTTTCACTGTAAAACGCACGCCAATTCATGAATGCGTCTAGTGCAGAGTACAGTGCTAGTCAAGAAAGGACTACCTAATCCAGAACATACCACCTTGTCTAGAAAAAACCAACTAATCCCGCACATACCACTTTCAATTACTATGACATCTTTTACTTTGCAATTCATTTACCGCAGCATTTTATCCATATCAATAAATCCAGTTCATAGTTCACCTTAGAGCACCTCAGTTAATGTATAAAAGCAATCTTAAAACAAGCAGCTCAGCCAGCAATGGGAGAAAGTGAGCCTAGGTTTAAACCATTGATGATTGATATGTGGGGTTTAAGGTCTCAAAACCACCATATTGATACGTGTATGAAACTGTCGCCCCGACACAGCTGAATTGGCACCCAAATGAAGACGACAACGTGGTTGTAGTGGGTTCGACTCTCGAACTTCCGCCGCTTTGTCTTCAACTTCGCGGATATTGCTAGGCCCCTCACGGATCTCCTCAAAAAGAATGTGGCCTTTTCTTGGGGAAGGGACCAAGAACATTCCTTCGTGTCGCTAATTACCGCCCTCACATCACCACCTGTGTTGATTTTGATCCAACGGCTCGAACAGAGCTTCGCACCGATGCAAGCGGCCATGGCATTGGTGCGATACTCGCTCAGATACAGAATGGCACCAACCGTGTGATAGCCTACGCTAACCGCCTTTTGTCGCAAGCGGAACAAAATTATTCTATCACTGAGCGGGAATGCTTAGAACTCGTTTGGGCTATTGCGAAATTCCGTCCGTACTTATACGGACGTCCGTTCGCAGTCATCACGAACCATCATGCGCTTTGCTGGCTGTCGACGCTTAAGGACCCTACAGGAAGACTTGGCCGATAGGCACTTCGATTACAGGAGTACACGTTCTCGGTTGTTTACAAATCTGGAAAGCTGCACAGCGATGCTGACTGCTTATCCCGGCACCCCGTTGATCCACCTAGTTCCACTGATTTGGAATCTGATGCTTGCGTTTTAGCCATCACTGACTTTTTGAACGTGGCTGACGAACAGCGCCGAGATCCATCGCTGCTCACCATCATTGACCGCCTTCAATCGCGTTATGCTGACCCTTCTCTTAGCAGATACCTGCTTCAAGACAACGTTTTGTACCGCCGCAACTTACACCCCGACGGCGCGGAACTTTTACTCGTTGTACCGCATCACCTGCGAAAGGATGTTCTGCGACAATTCCACGACGCTCCAACTTCTGGACATCTAGGAGTCTCCAGAACTTACGACCGAATTCGACGACGAATATTCTGGAAGGGTCTGTACCGCTCTGTTCGCCGTTACGTCGCATCTTGCGACCTCTGCCAGCGCCGAAAGAAGCCTACGACTCCCCCTGCCGGTCTTCTTCAACCTATTGAAGTTCCAGCCGAGCCATTTTATCGAGTGGGGTTGGACTTGCTAGGTCCCTTTCCTACTTCTACAACTGGAAATAAATGGATTGCAGTGGCCACAGACTATGCCACTCGGTATGCAATCACTCGAGCGCTACCAACCAGCTGCGCAACCGTCGTTGCCGACTTCCTGCTGTACGACATTATTCTCCAGCATAGCGCTCCGACTCACCTGCTCACAGACCGTGGTCGCTACTTTCTATCTCGTGTGGTTGATGATCTACTCCGATCTTGTGCTACCCGTCACAACTTCACCACATCTTACCACCCTCAGACTAACGGCCTTACGGAGCGCCTAAACCGCACATTGACGGACATGCTTTCCATGTACGTATCTACCGACCACACTGATTGGGACCTAGCTCTTCCGTTCGTAACCTTCGCTTATAACTCGTCGCGTCATGAAACAGCGGGCTACTCCCCTTTTTATCTACTCTTCGGACGCAATCCCTTACTGCCCTTCGACACACTGCTTTCATCAGACCACCCATCCTCCACTTCGTACGCTCAGGCTGCGATCACCCGTGCCCTCGCAGCACGCGCGGTAGCGCGTGCTCGGTTATCGTCGTCGCAGACAGCACAGAAGTCTCTTTATGACCGTCGACATAGAGATGCCGTTTTTTCTGCGGGATCTCTTGTTGCTCCCATCTCGACGTGTTGGCCTCTGCGAGAAACTACTATCGCGATACGCTGGGCCCTACCGAGTCATTCGTCGGGTCACACCTGTGACCTACGAGATTGCCGCTACCACAAACTCATCAGCTGCTGCACCCAGAACGGAAGTAGTCCACGTTTCTCGTCTCAAGCCCTACAACGCCGACTCGCTCATTTAACAGGCACCGAGACAGTGCCTTGCGGGCCGGGGTGATGATACGTGTATGAAACTGTCGCCCCGACACAGCTGAATTGGCACCCAAATGAAGAAGACGACAACGTGGTTGTAGTGGGTTCGACTCTCGAGCTTCTCCCGTTGGCCTGCATGACTGTGCGCTCTTTAAGCCGTTAACAAGACCGACCAGCTCTCGGTGAATAAATCTTCCCCGTAACAATATGATTATGAGAGACACCTTAGTGAAGGGCTTCGAAAATTTTGACCTGGGGTTCTTTAACGTGCACTCAAATCTGAGCACACGAGCCTACAGCATTTTCGCCTCCATCGAAAATGCAGTTGCCGCAGCCAGGATTCGATCCCGCGACCTGCGTGTCAGCAGCAGAGTACCTTAGCCACTAGACCGTTGCAGCGGGCCTAGGTTTAAACTTGTGTTCAACAAAATGAGAAGTTTAGTGACATCCTTATAGCCATCTTTCTCAAATTTAAATATGTTTTGCTTTATTTTCGATGTACAGGAACAAATCACTAAATCTTTATGACAAGGCTGTGGGCAATTTACACGTAACATTTTGCCTAGCTTAAGTTGTACATGCAGTCGTATCTGAAGATTTCTAACCAGTAGTAAACTATGCATGCATAAAGGTGTTTATGCTACCACCCTGCTATAAGACTTGTCCAGCAAACAAATGGCATGCATGTTTCGCATGCAAAATCGGGAGCTACATCCCACAGCTATAGATATACAAAATTTGCTTTACTCACAGGTATGTGCTTGAATACTTTTTTCGATTCACCAGCACAACAGAACGAAAACTTTTCTCCATGGATTCCTGGAAAAAAGAAACGGTAAACACACACACTTACTTTTCAAGTTTTAACTCACAGTTTGGTAGAATGGATGGGGATAATTATTTTTTGTTGTCCAGTTGATGAGCACAGTCTTTGGTAGGTTTGCCATTTCAAACATGTTCCTGCAGAATGGAAGAATTTGAGGCAAATAAATATATCACCATTGCAATGCATTAAACTTTGAGCTTACCTAACAAACTTGGCTTCCATTTGCCACACTTCATCATCTCCAATTTTGCACTTCTTCAGCACTGGTTCAGCATTGCTGTTGTCACTGAGCTCCCTTAAAGCCATTGCTCTTCCTTGAAGCTTGAGCTGTCGAGAAGCATGCTTATCTTGCATGTTCCAGAGCACACTGTAAAATAAATTACTACAAAGACAGCAGTCTTGCACAGCTGCAACTCAAATATGCGGTAATGTACCCCAAAATACCATATTTCCTCCATTTGCTGACTGGCCAGAAGTGCCTTGCCTCTGTCACTTTCCTGAAGTGAGCCAAGCATCTGCTGAACACAGTACTTCGTGTTTGTTGCCCTGTTGTCATATTCTATTGCCTGCCATAAAGTAAAAATGACGTGTTGGAGTATGTTCTACATTCTCCATAGAATAAATGTAGTAAACAATTATAACAGCACTCTTACATAGGCGAGGTACTCTTCTATAACATCATCGATTGGTTTCTTGCCTTCCTTTCTAAATATGGAGCAGTTGCTTTCTGCCTGACGAGCGAGCATCACAGAAGCAGCACCAGTGGTCTGGCGGAAACGTTCAATGTCTTCATAGCAGGCTATTTCTCCAGATCCACCGCTGCAAAAAGAACAATTCTGTGCAAAAAAGAAATCTTTTGAAAATTGGAAGCTAGACTGGAAGCATCACTTCTTTCTTTGAAACTAGCAGGAAGCATGCCTGCAGTGCTGCTACAGGCCTTAGTACCCATTTAAAATTCATTTAAACAAAATGAGGGTCGCAGGATTTGTGCTCTGACACGTTATTTCAAGATTATGAAAAAGTTTGGAGCACATTACACATTTAAATTCATACAATGTCAGCGTTCACACTCCAGTGGTAGTGGCATTACCAGCACATTCAACAATTGCTAATATGGTGACTGACAGTAGAGAACACGAACAATGGTCCTAATTTAGACATTTCACTTAGCTTCATCATTCGTCATGTCAAGTGCCCTGTGCCAGCAATGAAAGAAGGGGTATAAATCATGGGGCTTGTTTCTTTCTCAGACACAACTTAAAATGAAGTTGATAATGAATCAAAGGAAGGCATAACATACATTATTAGCTTTTAACTGTAGTGTAGTAATTGCGAGTTACCCGAAACAAAACTGGATGAAAAAAACTTGCTGTTGGTAGCGACCGAATTTACAAAACTTCAGACACCACAAGCATTGCTCTACCAATTAAGCTACAACGGTGACAGTCTATTTGTGTGTAATCCTGGGAGTGTTAGACAGTGCCACTCATAGCCAAGGCTGTGCCACTCGCTGCCAGTTATTAGTCCAGTATACATCCTTGGAGTCACTAAATATAGCGATATAGTACAATGCTACAAGACGCACAAAACTCTACTGATTGTATATGCATTTAGAGTTGAGGAATTACTTAGCAATGATAGGAATGTTGACATGCTCGGCCAGAGCTTTAATGACTGCATTCCTGTTGGCATGCTGTGGTCGTTCCTCTTTTGTTCGTCCATGGACACCAATCGCTTTTACACCAGTTGATTCAATAAGTTTCCCAAGAGCCAGGGTGTCTTCAAGCTGTAATAAGGAGCAGGTCAGAGGGTGGATTACTCATCACAATAACCCAACAGTTCACGTGATGCCAGTGGCCACACACGAGGCAGTAGTAATTCAAACTCTGTCGCAACAATTTGGACATCTTGCATTTCTGCTTTGAAACTATACCTTTTCAAGTACTCTAATCTTGCACGTGATGGGTAGTTCAGTGCTTTGGACAAGAGCTGTCAAGATGGCTTTCACCTTATCAGTTTGTGTTAGCAGAGCTGCACCCATTCCACCCTGAAAAATGTAGGAAGCATGTCAGTGCAACAGAGAACCACACCCAGCAACAATGCTTCTCACAGTGACAGGACCTTTATGGAGAATTCCTTAGGACAACCCATGTTCACGTCTATGCCAGCCACGTCTTTCTCACTGAAAAAGATATTCGTACAATAAATATGCACCAGCAATACAACTATACAAGCAACAAGTGATACTCAATGACCAGGTAACACTCTGATGAAGCAACAGTACTATGGGTTTAGTTTTCGACAATGGCAAACGCAATGAGATTGAGGCACTAAAAATGATAAAGCAGTGGTTGCACACGAGTGGGAAAAATCAAACCAAAGTCTTTCATTATGGCAGGGGCGGAGGGAAAAACTTAGGGTGGGGGGTGGCAGATGGAAGGGGGGAGCTTCCTTTGAGCCCGGGGTTCCAAATCTGCTTGACTGCACAGTAGACCTCTCCTAGCCTTAATGCCAATTTCGAGTATCAAACTAAGGCGCATGTACATGTTTTTTTTTCTGCTTCTCATCACATCTGTGCAACACGCTATTCACAAATATCAATAAAAGTATAGAGTTCCATTGATTTGCCACTGCAGATCAAGTCAGTCAGCCGGTTGAAAATAGTATGTTTTGAATGTTCAAATATTGCACGTTTGACTTGGTGTAGCACTCTTTAATGGCATTCATACAGGTAAGATGACCAAAATTTGTAGGTGCTGTAAAAACTTCAACATTTCAAACTTGAGCTACCACTCTAGCATTACCCTAACAAACTAACAGGGCACGGACTATGGCATAACACTGTCAACAGATAGAAAACTTGTCCACCATTTTTTCTGCTGTACATTTGACTCGCCACACAAATATTTATTGACATTTCTACAAGATAACTATGAAACAAATGCCAGTGGAATTGAGGTAAAAACATTAAGCACACACTAAAGCAATAAAACCGAGTACCACAAAGTAAATATAAGAGGAAATACACATATTAATACAATCAGAGCTGTGCAATAGCAAAGCTTCAGGTGTGAAGCGAATTCGGGTATTTCAGTGTGAGCGTGAATCGAACAGAACATTTTTTTACCTATCTCGAAGCAAAATTGCAGAAAAAAAAAAAAATCAGCAGATCCCACATACCCTGGGAATTGACATTATGCGAAGCATGCGGAGTGAAGGTGACCATGTTGCAATTTTTTTATTGAGCGACACGTTATGAAATGATGCTGAATATATGTATAAGCATTGCACACAAACGTATGTTCAATAGTCTCATATGTTTATATGACCACTTGTTTTCACAAGTGCAATGATGCCAACAGCAACATGGGTATTAGCAACACCAGAAGCGATAAGCTGATAGCACTCGCAAGGGTGGTAGCCCTGGACACGGCAACATAAATCAACTTTAGTGCATGGTATCTAACTACAATTAACCTCTAGCCGACATGACAGCTCTATCATAGGAGTGAATATCTAATGTTCATAAAATTGAATAGCCAACACAGCAACCACAATTGACGTTTCATGAACATTAGGGTCTTTTTAAAAAGTAGTTCCAAGACCTGGCGTGGCTCTGTGGCAAAATACTTGATTGCCACGCCAAATCCTGGGATTTGATTCCTGCTGGGACCCCGAGATCTATTCTTTGCATTCGTCGGATCGATGCTGCCATTGTCAGCTTTTTCTTAACGCTCACCCGTTAAAATTAACCATGTATGTTCTCGCCATTCCTGTGTAGATACCAAGTGTCAATCACTTATGGCACATACCCACCCGCAGGTATGTGGCACTGTCTGATGGAAAATGTTTGACAACGTACGGGACGGGATTGTGACATTATTCATGTCTTGAAAAGCGCATCATATTCATCAAACCAACTTGCACTCCTGTTCTAATCTGGTTCCCGCCAAGTTAAGGGGTTGATCACGAGAGCGCCTAGCTAGCTAGTTAGCGAGAGAGAGAGACACAGACATACAGATAGATTTTCGCATTTAAAAGTTGGAGAGGATTCCCAAGCATACTTTTCTGAGACAGCAACATGAAAGTGTTTCTTTTGGCTTGGCTGATGAAGTGCTAGTAGGACGGTGTTTTATAGTTCTTATCAAGAATGGGGAAATGCAGACGCCAAGTTCTATTCATGTACATAATTTTACTGTTCAGACTCTTTTCTTTTAACTTGTGTGGAAGCCCGAGTGATGTAGCAGACAAGCGTGTGCTCCTTTGGAATCAGGAGTTCAAAATATGCCTCGTAGACGTCAATGTGTAGAAACATCTGAAACTTAATATGCTAAAAATTTTTGACATTCGATTTTTTAGACTCCCTGCTCAAGTTTCGGGTCCAAACCAGCATTAATAGACTTTTTTCATGCACTCCTAAAAAACACCCTGTGGGCGCACATAGCATTATGGTTAAAATGTGTACGCCAAGCGAGCCAACTGTTCTGTCGTTCGCTGCTGGTTGCGCTGTGGAAGCACGAAACTAAAAGAATGTGTTGCCACTTATAGAGTGTTAAAAAAATCCTAAATACGTTGCATGCCCAAACGCACCTGCATGTATCAATACACATAAAATGTAACAAGAGTAATGCATTTAGTCCGTGTAAATATTAGCAGGCAGATGTATGTCGAATAGGGCAGTTAGGGACGGCATGCGAGTCATAAAGTGCTGACTCATTTAGTCAAAATGTACCATCGTGACCTATGTGAAGTCGGACACCAAAGTCATATTTATTCATAGATTACTTGTTCAAAAGCTGCTATGGCATAGCCGCTTGTGATCGGACTGTTAACAACAATTAGTAGAGAAGGTTAACAGTATTACTCTATATGTAGGCAGGTTATTTGATTGAAATTTACTAGTCGGGTGCAATGATGTACTGTACAGAGACGCAAACATATTCTAAATGTGTCTAAGTAAGGAAAAAATAGGACTATAATTCCCTTGTCAGTGACTTGTTCTGATAATTGGAAGTTTCTTGATACATGGCTTTAAATTTCACCATGAAGCATGTTTTTGCTGGGTATGTTATCGAAACCGGTACTTAATGTCACGATGATGCACTCGAATAATGTTAACAAGAAAATGTGATGTCATTGCCATGCTCAGGTGCACGTGCCACTAGATCAAAACTTTCGCACATAGACTGAGCAGTATAGCTTCCAGCTGCAAATATATATTTCCTCAAGGAAACACCGTGTTTTGAGTATATATTTCATCGGTTTGTCAAAAAGCTCATTGGCATTGCAAAAAAACATAAATATGCTCCCCTCTCTGAATTAACTACGTATATCAGGGTCATTCCATATATGCATAGGAAGTCGTACAGCCTGAAAAATGATATGGGGTGAGGGTAGTGTTTCCCACAACAAATGGGCTTATTCGCATTTGTTCTGTAGTATACAAAAGGCCGGAAGGGTCTGCTGTGGGCAAAGAAAAATGCAATAAAATGCTTGCCAATTGTTTTTTCAGTTGTGTAATAGTTTTTAACCAAATGTGTTCATGTGTACATCGGCCAGATGCAATGGTTGATGCATTACCAAGGTGCCTCAGATGGCAAAGAAATTCGTTGAACGTAGTCGTCTATCTCGGCTCACATCGTCAGTCATGCAAATGTAATTCAGTCTTCAAAAGAACAGTAAATTAGTCTCCTCATCTTGATTAAGCCAAGTGAGAAATATCGGGGCGTATCATCATGAATATTGCCACACTTTGTGCAAGTCAACCTTCTATGCAATTGCAAGACAAGAAATTATTAAGCCAAGTGAGAAATATCGAGGCGTATCATCATGAATATTGCCACACTTTGTGCAAGTCAACCTTCTATGCAATTGCAAGACAAGAAATTCAACTTTATCATTCGCCTGTGAACACGCTTTTTTCATCATCATAATTTTTGTGATCTAGGGAGGCATCCAATAGAGTAGAATGTATCGAAATGAAAGTCTGCTAAAAGGAATTGCTGCTTAAATGGAAGTGTCTCTGATATGATTGGTTTAATTTAGCACTTGTATTCTGCATCCTGGTTTATCTCTCAGTAAACGAAACTCCTCTTAAATGGAACATATTTCCTGGTCCCTCCAGGTTCCGTTTAATGAGAGCCTATTGCATACCATTATTTGTCATTCTGCGGATAATGGCAGCATCTGTGACAGACCTGCAAGGCATTATGTGCACTTTATTGATGTTGTGGGTGATGACAATGAAGTATTATGACCAAGCCTATTATAATTGGTCGGAAGCATTCAACAACCCACTCGTTACACTGTTCGCATGGTGCGACGCGAAGCCTGGTTACACAATTTACATTGTCTGACACACGGTTGTTATTTTAATTTTTTACCATATAATATTAATGTTTCTTCCCAGCACAAAGCCTGTAGCGGGTCTTCTTGCAAAGAAGTTTCAAGCACTGACATGGCTAAGTGGTAGAATACTGGGCTGCCACAGAGTCCAGGTTCAAAACCTGTTCCATCCTGAATAGTTTTTCTTATTTCATTTTGTTATTCTTATTTCGCACGATGGCGGTTATGGACAACTATGGTGCCAAAAACAACCATTGTTGTGATCTCGTAACAGCTTTTGCCGTAAAAAGGCAGAAGTTCAGAGGAAGATTGGAGTTTGAATAGATGAAAAATTTGTGAACATTGGGTGTCGCTGGAGCCAACGCTTCGACAACTGGTCTTGTCGAAATGTGGCTCCGGCTTACATTTCAAGTTTTTCACCGGTGCTGTAGTTTTGAACTGACTAACGAACTTGGCTTTAGATCGAAGTGTTAACAGTGACACCCACCAAGACTGTGTTACTATATGAAGCATATTCAGCGCAAGTTTCAATTACTTGTTAAATTATACAGAGAATTCAGAAGACCAGTGTTCATTACTACAAATACAGTGACATACAGGGTGTTTCAAAAAATGTGTCCAGAAATCTTATAGAACACAAAAGAGCACATATTTGTGCACATTCTCGTGGAATTTGACTACAGCAGCATGGATTTTACAATGAGTAATGGTAAAACCAACTTTAGTTTAAAAATTGACTCACTTTTAAGACAGAATAGGGAGGGGCTTTAGCTTAATGGAAGCTGTTTCTACATTGATCCATATTCGCTTCAGGATTTGCACTACAGAGTGATGAAGTCTGGCTGATTTCACAGAGGAAAGCGACATGTTAATGAGTGCAGTTGCCTTCTTCACTAATACCCAGCATGACATTACTTCTCTAGCATTGGTGGTGAAAATGTGCAAGTATAATTCATGACTACTCCAGCAAGTGCGGTCAGGTGCAGAAAGAGATTGCTGCTTGCTCATTCTTGCCCAGCAATACGAAGGAAACAATGATGCCACACCTGGTGTTGCCCACATCCTTCAACAAAGGTATTGACGAACTCTGGTATTACTGAAGGTTGTAGCAAGTGTGCATCTTGACAATAGACTTTCTGCATGAAGCACTCTCTTGGGTTTAGACATCCAATCATCTTTTTCAGTTTGTTGCTATCACTGCTGAAGAACACAATGTCGTTTGCAAACCACAAGTTACTGAGATGCCTGTGAATCTTTATTTTTATTTCTTTTCAAACCACTCATATGAATATTCTTAATCAAACAGTGAACAACATTGGAAAGATTGTATTTTCTTGCCTTCTTTTGTAACTGGCTTCCATATGCTGCACAAATCATCACTCAGATGCTGTCGTCTAATTTGTGAGGCTGAGAACAGCTCAGTTGTCTCCGTCAATGACTTCGCCAGTTGTGGTACGGTATTTAAGAGTTCTGTACAATCTATTTACATACTGCTTCTTTATCGTCATGTATATCAGACACTTGTACTGTATGCTAATCAGTTTTTGCATAACTTATAGCAGTGCATAGCTGAAATAGATGTGTCAAGGCATAAACACAGCATACCTTGTGAATGATAATTGCTTTTGGTCCTTAAATTCAACTGCATGCTGTTGATGGTAGGCAATACTTACACGAGCTTTGCAACTTGAACAGCACGGTCAGGACTGCAGGTTCCCTACAGAAATGCAACCCATGTTTGCATCAGAAACATGCTAGTGGCTTTTCCACAGCTATAACTGGAACTGCCACATGCTAGATTCAGTGAATGATAATTACAAGGTTAATAGATGCAAACACAACACATTCACTAATGTAGTATCATTCTTCCTGTCTCGGTCTGGGTATGAAATGATAAGTACTCACAATCTGGAGAATGTTTCGGCCTTTTTCTTTCTCACATGTTCTGAAAACAATTTGGTGATCATCGTCGACGAAGTCCACGGTTCCAAGTACCTCTAGAACACGAAAGCAGGGTTATTAACTGGTGCGACTGGCTTAAGCGAAATACTGATGCATGACGTAGCGTTCATCACAAGCTGAACTGGAGTTGCCACAGTACAGCCAAGTTCGCCTGTCATAACAGAACACCAAAACTTAGCATTCGTGTGCAACGAGCGCAACTTAGCACGAGTTCGCGCCTGCAAACAAAAATGCGGCATCAAAGAACGATCTTTCACGTTATTTTGCTATCCAGTAGTACCCGCAATAATGGGCGCTACACGTAACACGTACAGTGGAGCACACGATGCATACTTACTATTTTCGATTCGCTGACACTTCAACAACCGGTAGTCAATGAGTTCCTGAACAATAAACCATACCAGTGAACTCATTAAGACAAAACAGAACAAATCATGGCAAGAGCACGTAATAAAAAAACTGCCACATTACCTCCGTGTAAACAAGGTCCGCTCCGTAATGCAGAGCGAGAAGACGCATGGGCAAAGTGCCAATCCTAACCATCGGAGCAAGTATAATCTTGTTTCTATAATCGACGTTCGATGTCATGTTTCCTTCGCGTCAGCGTCAGACAGAAAACTGTGCATTGGGAATGTATCGGTTCATGGCAAAATCATAAGACAAGGATTAGGCGCAATACGTCGACAAAATTGCCGATGACCACACCGCAACAACGACCAACCACGCTTATTCTCTTCTCGTGGCTCATAGCCAATGCAGGGGATTGGTTGGTTCCTCAACAGCTTGGCGCAACCCACCCAGGGGGATAGGCCATGAATCGGACGCGTTGCCTTGCTTATTAAATTAATTCACTTCTCGAAGGAAAGAGATGAATTTACCAGGTATTATAGGATTGTTCGAGTGTTAGGTGAGCCGCGCTTGCTTGTTCCTATACGCTTTGGCTCGTACCCACCACGAGGGATTGGCCACTAAACCGGCGGTTATTGCAATGGGGAAAAACGATTTTCAACTTTTGATGAATAAAAAATAATTATTCAGTCGTTTAGTGAATATAAGAGTGGATATTCACGCTGCCTGAAAACTATCCAGCTTCATCTTCTCCTCATGGCTCATACCCAATGCAGAGGATTGGCCGAGTGATTGGTGATTTTTTTTCAGTGTTTCTTCGCAATACTTCTCGTATAAGCTAAGAATAGTTAAAACGTCAAACTTAATTACGGAATATTAGTATTCCATGCTAATCCTCCATGGCATCCACACTGACACACGGAGGAAGGAAAGACGCTGACATGTGTGATAGAAGATGCAAATGGATCGGCGTGACTAGTCTTGCACAGGTTGAAAGCATCGCAGCATGACCACAAGTTCTAAAAAGTTGTTGCATTTTAGTTGCATTTAGCGACATTAAAAAAGTTAATGCTCAGTATTATTTAAACACAAAAAAAATATTTTGGTATGTACAGTTTGTATTTGTTAGTACCTGTCGCACTGCGGTGCAGTGCGAGTGTGCCGTCGTTGCACGTGTCGTATTTTGTTTTTTCATAGCAGACGACAATGGCGTGCCTTGATTTCTTTTCTCTGACTGCTGTTCTAATGACAGTTATCCGCGAAGATTGTGGAAGCAACTGTAGCATGCTGAAGCATGATACAGTGGCTAGGTATCACAACCACTTCACTTCACCCGAGCAACTACGTGTGCTGAAAACAATTTTTTCGGCGGTGCGAGAAGTGCTTGCGAAGCTTTTATGCACTACCCTTTACGAAGGTTGCCTTAATACACCGTTGTAAAACGGTGGTGGTTGTAGCAGGCGGGGGAGTAGGCTATCATTCCGCCTGCCTGAACTCCCCTTGAATTATATCAGTCGGATGTGTCAGCATGTGTAGACGAGGGATGCATTATGTAGTAGTCGTTACACTGCGCCGCCAGCACACCAACGACAGCGAATCCCAAGGTCGGAACCGTGAGTGGAGCAACTATACTGCACTACGAAGGAAAGAAAGCCAATGCCGCTAATGCCTACTCGCCAAATAGCTAAATACTGCGCATCATGAGGCGCAGATTATTTCCAAACATAAACCGACGCGTCTGTACCAAGGAGGATACAGCAAGTTTTATGTATCCTCCTTGGTCTGTACGCGTGGCTCCACAGAACACCTACCAGTTTGGTGGCTCCATCTGTGCTCGTCTTGTGTGACGCGGTAAGGATCAATGGCAAAGGGTAGAGAGAGTGGGACGTATAGGAGGGTGTGTATAGTAGCAGTCGGGTAGCTGTGGCGGCAAGTTGTGCAGTGGTTGACGAGTGGGTATTTCACTGTTATTTCGCGGTTTTTCATTCGTTACGAATATTACGCATGAATTTAATGTTGCCAGCGTTTTACGTGTCCAAGGCATGTTGGGGAAACTTGGCGCATCGTTCACTAATGTTGACGGTAGTACACGATAGTCGACGGATGTGTTATTGCCAGTGTGTTTCATTCTTTTTGCTCCCAGCCACTGCTAATCGCCACATCTGCATGCATTTATATGGCCTTCATGGCAGGCGTTCCTGGAAGAAAGCTGAAAAGCCCGGGCGCTGCTTGAACCACAGCCGCTGCGCGTGTGTCGGAGTCTGCATCGAGGATTGCGTGTGGAAGTTGCAGCCTCGTTACTTGACGTCTGTTCAACGATGTTGGCAACAAAAGTAAGGCTGCCGCGTTTTCCCTAACCTTTGCTAAGCGCCGTGAGTACAAGCTGAAATTTTACGCTATTCTGTGTGGGGCGTCTATGACTCGGATAGAAGCTGCAGCGGTTTTCGCTGGGCCGTGCGCTGCTCTTAGCATACATTGAACATGACACCTAAACGTCGAAGTATGCAGCTCAAATGATTGAATCCGCAGGAAGGAAATGAATCTGAAGACCATGAGACGTAAACGTAGACAACCTATACTATGTGCTCTGCTTGTTAGCACCGCGTGGAAAACATTACGTAGGTGTTTTATGGTGCACGAGCTTCTTATTTCTCACTCCTCCTCTCTACACTAGGCATGATAAGTGAATGTAAACGCACTGCGCCGCGCTCCCTACCGGGCTGCAGAAATTAGGCGCTTTTCTCCTATTCTAACCACTACCACCACCACCACCTATAGAATTCGATGTGTGCAATCTTGTGCGATAATTGTTTTTAATTTCGGAACATGCTCTGAAATGGAGCTGGCGGATCGATACTGTCGTCGACTGCAGCTCATCCCGCAGGAGTGATGCAGCTTTAGCTTGCATGCGCAGACGTATTTAGTTTTGTGCTTGTACTATACATGCATAGTGCGTCATGAAACTGGCCTAATTCGCGCCTTCAATATCGTGATATCGAAAACGAATGCGGCTAGCTGACTTCGTACTTCGCGGATTCAGAAGCTGAGCCTGCAATTGTGTGTGGGTGTGGTACGGCTTGTGTCTCTGTTTACATCTACGTTTCAGCATTAAACTTTGATCGATCATGAAAAAACATTATGGCAGCCACAGAGCTCGTTAGAAATCATTTGGTATTCTTCAGTGATACTAATTTGTGAGCGTCTAATTCATCCGGCAGGCGCGTTTATTCAATGAACATGCTAAAATCGAAAGTATTATGGAGGATACATGCCGTGTGAGCAGTGTTAGGCATTCCAGTGCTCCTGTGATTTTTTGTGTGGTGCATGTAGCCATCCGATCCAATGTTACTTTGTGGGAAGATTATGTAAGTTGCTGTGCTACTTTGTGTTAAGTGCACTATCCATTACACCACAGGCCCTGTGTTGTATATGGGCGCCGTGCCTGTTGTCACAAAACAAAACAAAAATATCAGTAGATTGCCAGATTTCCAAAAAAGGAAAAAAAAAAAGCGTTACGTGATTTCAGCCCTAATGTCTTAGTGTATTGTGGAACTTAGGTTACGCTGACTACCAGGGTACAAAAAACACAAACCAATTTACATGAGGTGCAAGCTGCATTTACGACACTAAGCAAGCTTATTGGGATACAGCTTTGCATTACGCTAGGATGCTAAATGCCGTTGTATATGAATGAAAGCAACTTGTGTATCCACATGCATCTACCCTAACGCTGTGCACTTCTGAATATTACTTTTTGCGTGTGCATTAATGATGGTCCATAAAATTTTGATCTAAGAAAGGAGCAACACTTATGCTTTACAAGCTAAACTCATTTCTCTAGGCAGTGCTTGAACTATTGATTGATCAAGTCATCTAGCTTGCACTGTGTCAGCTGCTAAACCAATTCGTTCAACATAAAGTAATATACTATTCTAAATACACTAAGAAGGGCAGAAAGTAAGATAGAATAGAGTGCTGTTTCTTTTTGAAGTACTTATCAATCATATATGTCTGCAACCAAACAATAGAGAAAAGCGACTAGAAGAATTATATCCGCTAAAAAAGCTTGTTTGTATTAATTATGGAATACTTCAAAGCACAGCTTCAAGGTTGTACAAAGCAGACACCATATACAGGATAAAAACTTGTCCTCTGTTTGGCAACTGCTTCTTTGTGAAATAAGAGAAAAAGAAAGCAGTCAATGAACAGTACTTATACAATAATTCATTGCATTTCATAAAAGTACCATAGCAAAATGCCGACTACAAATAAATAAAAAACAGTGGGTGGATGTTTCCAAGGTAATGTGGATTACCTTGGAAAGTTTCCAAGGTAATGTGCAAAACAGTAAATAGAGTTAATGAGGAATGAAACAGGCTTGCATGCACAGGCAAAAATAGTTAAATTGCCAGACTGGGGTAATGGTTGGCATGTCACCTTTTTTCGTTGCTAAGGTCGGCTACTTTTGAAGTGTGGGTAAGAATCTAGTGGTAGATATTGCTTCATTGCGCTGATTCACTGTAGCTACCAGCAACAAACTGCAACAGTAGCTCGCTTGTAGGTGTGTGTTCTAAATTTTTTGCTGCAGCACATACAATTTCTTTTAATAAAATTCAAATGACTGGAGAGGATTTGTGGTTTCACAGATTAAAATAAATGAAGACTAATGTATAGCGAGGGCACGATTTGTAGTTATGACAGATGCTTATCTTCAAAAACCACCTCATTTCACATAGAATGATTTGAGGGCAGGCTTCAAGAAAAATCTTGCTCATGCTTGTTCTTGCTATTACAAAGGCTCTGCTGGCTATTACATAGTCTTCAGGGAGGCTATAGATGAGCACTATCCAAGTGTGGTTTATTTGAAAACAAGGCCTTCTTTTCAAATGGTGATAGTACAGTGTCACTACTATATCTGCAGTGCTCAACATGTTAGGATTAGTGTTCTTAGCAGTAGATGTCAGGGCAGTGTTAGATTCTCTCTCTCTGTAAACTGTATAGTGGGGGCATGAAATGGATTTTTTTTCAGCTGAGCAGTTAGAAATGCTCATGGCTAATTGCATAGCAGGTAAAGGCAAACAGTAGCAATAAAAAAGGGATAATTGTGCATAACTCATTTCTAGCAAGAAGTGCTATGAGCGGGTAGTTGGAAATTATTCCTTTCACAACCATTCCACTGCCTTATGGGATTCTGCAGAGCTCATTTGCAAGCTAGGACATGTTGCCTATATGAGCTCTCGAATGGTCCTTTGGCAAATTTGCTGTGCATGCTCCAGATATTCTGTGCAGTGGAAACTATCTGTTACAAACACTATTGTTTAGTTTAATAATTACCTCCCCTTATGTAATGCCCCTCCAGTGGAGTCTGAGGAAATAAAAATGACTGGTCATAATAGTGCTGATCAATTGATATATGTGCATAATTGCAGATCATAATGCCACATTGTCCTGTGTACCTGTGTCACTTTAATTTCTTGTCTGTTAGATTATTTTGTGAAAAAGCCTAATTGACGGCAGCAGGTAGAACTTAAAAAAAAATAGGCTGTATTCTAAAAATTCGTGGGGCTTATCTCTGAAAATAGCTTATTGAAGAGGGGTGATATTACGTCATGCTTCTTCTTTTTCTTTCTTTTTTTTTTTCTAAATTCACAGCCAGCAACAGAGATGTTGACCAATTTCACAGATATTTAATTACAAGCCTGCTATGCTTGTTTTTTAAAAAAAAGTGGTAGCTCTGCTTTTGGTGTACACAGCCCAAAACTACTTCAGTTAAATATGCCTTTCAGTAGATGTTCATGCAGTTCTGATCTTTTGTCCTTTTTTTATTGCCAGACTAAGACAAGTTGCCCTTTTGACATAAGTAAAAATTCTTGGGATAAATATATAAAAGAAATAGACTGGATGAAATAACTTAATTTATTGCTATTGCAGAAAGAGAGGATATTAGACATACAAAAGGCCTCAGGCTAGTTTTGCTGCCAGTGTGTAATACCATGAAGAAGGTTGTCTTGCAAAGTTATCCACAAGTTCAGGCACTATTGTGGCAATAATATTAACTCTACACAAGCACTAACTCGATAGTTTTGTTCTATAATTATATATTATTGTATTAAAAATTATCTGCACACTATAGATTGTTTTAATGTACGACAGTTTGCAGTCCACTACTATGATTTTGTTGAAAAGACAGAGTGCACATATGCTGGCACAATAAAAAAATTCTTCTTTTTGTAGTGTTTTGGTGTGTGTTCACATCAACCATATGAGTCATTATGACCTGAAGGTATGAGGCCTAGTGATGTTTGAATCCTTTTCTAGAGTAGCACAGCTGACAGGTGTGTTGCTAGTATAAAAAAAAAAAGATTTTTCTTTCTTTTTTTCTAGCAAATGAAAGTGGACCGGTGTCCTACAGAGGAGATTTCCCTCTCCAACTGTGCAGCTGTAAACCCAGTGGATTACTCGGAAGACAAAGTTCGGTAATTACATATGCAGTTCAGGTTCATTCTGCACCTTCTTATGGTTTTGTCATTACTGTATTGCATTTCATCTAGAAATCGCAGTGACAATTGTATTAAATGATTTAGGTTTCTTTTTTGATTACATGTCCACTTCACTTCTGTCTTTTTTTTCTTCCTTTCGCTTGCCCTTGTACCAACCTTTCTTACTCGTTACCTATTATTGTTTAATACCTTGCATTTGGTTCAACTGTAAATTATTGATATGTGCTAATACACTCGTATCTCATTATAATGAAATTGTATCTTACACAAAAATAAGTTTGATATATTCAAAAACTCTTAATAAAAGTATGTTCCCAACACTGTATTGCAAGACCATAGTTTATTTACGTCGTTATAACTGGGTTCATTATATCGAGGTTTGAGTGTACCATAAACAAAGCTGCATAACGTCAAGAACACTGTTATTTACTGCAGTGAAAATAGCTTCCAGATTGTTACTCTTGTTGAAGACACCCTCTTGCTTTATAGAACCGTGCCGATATTTGTCTTAGTAAAACTAATTTCTGGTACCTTGAGTATTCGCATAGCAGCACTGTATGGTGGGTAATGCTGACCAACAATCTCCTTCTAGAATTCACTTTCAGTATAGTATTTTACTACATGACTGTCGCACATACTTGCAATCTGCCGGCTGTAAGAAATGCTTTCACGTTGTAATTTCAATGTGCAAATGCTAAAAAACTAACATGGGTTCTTTTTTCAGGCATGTTGAAGTGACAACAACAAACCACAAGTTTGTATTCACTATCAAGACATCAGACAAGGTCAGGCCAGGCACCATGGGCTTCAGCTTGCCTATGGTGAGTGAACATTCAATGGTCATCTTTTATTGTGATAGCAACTATATGGACATGCGGCTGTATTTCCTCGTTGGCGTCATTGTCATGCACCGTATATGTATATGTATCTATATATATGAAAACGCAAGAAAGAAAAAAATTTTAGAAAAAAGACTCCGGCGCGCGGAATCAAACGTGGGACCTTCGCGTTTCGAATGCATGGCGTTAACCAGTCAGCTACCGAAGGGTACCTCTTTAACGTTCAAACGGCAAGCTATTCATATCTACCACTTACCGCTGTTGGCAGGCATCTCGGAGGGAAACTATTATGTTTTAGCATTATCAGCAAGATGGCGCAGTGAGCGTGCAGACGCTCTCACCTCTCACGCATACTTTGGCCCGCTTAGAGTATAAGGGGGTGTATGCTCGCTCGTGCGCCCTTATTTTGCAGTGGGGAGAATCGTACGTCTTGGCTAGCCTTTGGGTTTTGTGGAAACAATTTTGTTGTAGTTACCGGGTGCACAAAGGTCACTGCAAGCGTTGCACAGCCTCCGTTTGCGAAAAGGGCAGCTTTTAAGACACAGCAATGTAACAACTGAGACGCGTGCACAAAGGTCACTGCAATCGTTGCACAGCCTCCGTTTGCGAAAAGGGCATGCACGCTTTTAAGACACAGCAAAGTAACAACTGAGACGCTTATTCGCAATCATCTGCACCTGTGAGTACGTTTCGTGGGTCATCTGTGCGTGAGAAATGTGGGGCATGTTTCGATCTGCTTGCCATTCTGCGCGTGACCTCCCAGTTTATTGCTATCGCGTTTATTGCTTCACCTTTGCGGCAAAGCTGTGACTTTTTCTTCTTTAATGCAGTCCATTATATGGCCCATTCAAAAGCACTCAGTGTTGCCAGTTATCAAAAACGAACTGTGATAGATGGGATGCATGGCAAAGAGGAAGTATGTCGAGGGTAGATATTTAATAGTATTTTTTTTGCAAGTTAGTTGTCTGAGCATCATGCACTTATACGGTTGTTACTAGTATTGTGTGTGAAATTTTATTTTATTGTAATAGCAATTATATGGACACTCTCAGTGGATTTTTGTTGTTGCTGTCATGTCCCGGATGTGTATATATATAAAGGCACAGAAAAAAAATGAATCGGAAGAAAAAAAAGTAGTACCCTACCGGGGATTCGAACCAGCGACTCTTCGCTCTGCACCCCTTTGCTTGTCCTGTGAATATCTGCACGTTCTTGTCAAGTGTCCTTCTTTGTGCTTCAGTGGCATGCTACAGGTATCGAGTTGCTTGTCGTTCGTGTGACATTCCAATTTCTTGCTATCGCATTCATTGCTTTGCCCTTGTGGCAAAACTATCACTTTTATAAGTTTATTTTCACAAAATCGTTACTTTTGGTAGAATATCTTCTGATTTTTTTTCTGCATTAATTGCTGGTATTTTATATAAGAGCCCAAATTAAAATTTTTCTACTCCTTGTGTGAGGATACTAGTTAGATAATTGCATCGCACAACATAATGCCTTTTAACCACCTCCTTCTCATTCTCATTTTTCAGAGAAAATGGGCGGAGCTTTCTGTCAGCCAGATGGTTGATGTGCGCCCATATCTATTTGACCCAAACACTCAATACATTGCAAAAATTACGCTTGAAGCTGACTTCCTTGAAAAGAAAAAGTAAGTGCTAAATACATTTTCATAACTACTTTTTCAGGCTTTGAAGTATTAGTGTAAGGCCTGTTTCTTTAAGGTAAACTGATAAAATTTCACTTTCACTGAATTGGCCATAAATGAGTGCCTAGTTAAAAGTATCAAGCAGTGTTAGTAGAGATCCAGAGTTTGTGATTTTTTTTATTGACAGACTTGGATTTTAACCAGTCTGCACATGCACCATGTGGTTGGAAAATAGGATGCAAGTCCGAGACTATGCTTGTCCACTGAGATTTCTTAGCATGCTGTGGACACTGCCTTATCTCTAAGGTGATCGTGGTGCTGAGCATTATCATTTTAGACTGATGTTAATGGGCAGGTTTTTTTCTTGGGTATTAAGTAAGTGTTAAACTTTGACTGTTTGGAAAGGAATCGTACGTGGTACTCGTCCCGTCTCCATGTGGTCTGCAAGTTTTTCAGTGCTGTTAAAAAAGTAGTGACACAAAACTTTGGACACAATTTTACTGTCACATCATCTGATAGGAACATAGAGGTGCCATCTGTACAATATCAGCCTAATAAGGTATTTTAATTGAGTGTGGAAGTTCGTGAAAGTGCGGACTCGGATATAGAAGTGAAAAAAATGATGTTATGTATAGAGCGGGTACCATGTACGTCAAGAGTTCTGGCCGGGTCACTCGTAGGGATTACAACACTGTTAGGAGCACCTGATGATTCAAAGTCTAACCAGCCAGCGACCCGTCAAAATAACATTTCAGTGACTTACCTGCTTACTGACTCTATGTAAAGCATTGGCAATGATATATAATAATAAAATACCAATATTTTTTTTCAACAACAGTGACATAATTAAAAAAAGAGAGAGTAAAAATGATTGTAGTTGGACAATTTACACAAGATGTTGCTACTAGTTTCATGGCTGCTGGTGCAGCAGCGTCCAACAGCTGCGATTATTCGGTATCTGCAAAGATCAAGAAGTCTACAGACGAACTAAAGCTTTCTAGTTCCAGAATAGTGCTGAATAGTCAACAGATAACTGCCTCGGCACTCCAACATATGTACAGTCAGCCAAATATTTAGCTATCGTGCATGAATGGCAGTTTTTTTCTGTGTATCTTTGCCATATGACTGAATTAAGTTTCAAAAAAGGCGAAGACAAGTGTATGCCCACAAAGCAATTTTTTGTATCTTCCTTTTATAATATGGCGCTGAGAGTAAAAAAAATGACCGCTATGCATAATAGTTAAAGTTTTGGTTGACTCTGCATGTGATTTGTACGCCTTTAGAATGCAGTGTTGCCTGGTCTAAATGAGTCAGTAAAGTGTACATCAGGCCACTTAGATGTTATATACATACACACTGTTACAGAGCACCAATGTGGTCATTTCACTTCTTTCTTTGTCACTTCTCAACCTGCTACTTACAAATTATAAAAACAAAAATGTTTCAGCACACTTCTTGCTGCGGCTGCTCCAAGCCTTACGAAAAAAATTGGTTCAGTTGGACAATGAGAAGAGCAAAGTCACAGCCTCTGGTGATATCCGCGAAGTAAATCAAGCTTTTCTGATTTTTACACCCCTACTAGCCATTTCGTCTATCGCCACACTTCATAAGTTATGTAGTTCGACGATCAAAGAAATAAGCACCTGCCAGCTCTCAATGCAGAAGATGAAACAGCAATGCTGATAAAATAGCAGAAGCTGGCGAGGGATGTCACTGGTTCTCATAGTCACATAATAGTATTTGCTGACAAGTAGGCCAGCTATGTCATGGGGACCTCAGTGCTTTTCGAAATTGAAATTGCCTCTGGTCATGACATGGTTGCATATAATTAAACGTTCGTCTTGGCCAGGTATTAATGAGTTTTATTAGCATTATTAATGAGTCAGTAGCCATTAAGAGCAAAAAACAGAGGTGCATAAATTTTTTGTTACTACTCCTTTAATATGTCAATAGCAAAACCAACCAATCTAGTTTTCTTTGTTAATAGGCAAAAACTTCATGAACCCTCAAGCATTTGTCTCCTTAGGATAAAATTGACATTCCAATCTTGTTCCAAAGGTTTTATGAATATTTTGAAGCTATAACTTGCACTGTCCCATAAAGCAGACAACATTGCTAAGATCAACTCAAGGCAACATTGAGAAGCACTGCATTTGCTTTAAATTTGTCCATGTAAGATGCTTCCCATGGATTTTTGTTATTGCATGTGTATGTCTGGGGAGGAGGGAAGATGCAGTGTGCTTCCTTCTGCTTCAGAGTTTTAATTCTGTACTTTTTCCCAATGTTTGAAAGACAAAAGAATCGCTAACATTTTCCTTTAGAAGGGATTAAGGCACAGAGTTATAACTAGAGACCGGATTATAGGCAAATTCTTATTTTGTTTATTGCGTTCTTATTGCGTCACTTTGATGTATGAGCACGAATTGGAGGTTATGAAGAGCTTTTATAGTGTTTTTATTGTGCCTATAGATGCCTATTTTTGACGTTTGTGCCTAGATTCCTATAAGTGCTTACTTTAAAAATCGGTGCCTATATGAATGCTGTTTAACCTCAGATTTTGCTTTCAAGTACAGTTGGAGACTGGTATTGATGTTACTGGGCAAAATTTAGCTTTCGGAACTTTATGGGGTGCGCCCTATACTCCATCTCATAAGCTCCTTTCAGCACTGTCAAGGCTACTAGGGCTCTTAGCCAATGGAAAGGCCGATTAGCCTCTAAACATATTGATCCACATCACGTCATCTGCTCAGCATCTCCCCAGTATCTGCTCACATGCGTAGGGAACAGGAGGTGCTCTTCTAAAGCTGCAAGATGATGAACGAATGTGAAACCGTGGAGTGTCATCAGAAGAAGGTAGAGTGTAGACAAAAAATGAAACATTTTATTTAACACTGGAAGCTGTTGCATGGCCAGTGAAAAGCTTTGCTCCACTAGAATTTTAATTGGTTAATTACAAGCCGCAAAAGCATGATGCGAGAAGGTGAGCTTGAAACCTTCGCCACTCACACGGTGTAGACTTCGCTAGCCAAATTTCTGCCATGCCCTCTTCTGTATCAGAGCATCTCTGTGCCGGAATATCACACAACACAGACACATCAGTACATTATGAGCACGCAAGCTTACATTCGCATGACATGCCCATGCCAGGTCGTGCAAGCAAGTGGTGGTATGTCGTTTCGATGTTTTCTGTATTGTACTGCATGTTTCTGGGGGATGGATCCCTCTATGTGCGCACATTTGGAGAGGCTGGCATGGATCGTGTATCCTTACAGTGACAGACAGCGTAGCACCGCTGAAACGTCGGGAATGCCAACGCAAACGAAATGGAGGCATCTTAGTTTCACATCTCGCTCGATACGAAGTGAAGAGATTGTACAAATTATACACGTCGCTTTGAATAATTCTTGCAGCATCACATACTACTTTGACATACGCAAGACAATTTTTTGTATACGTCCCCTTCACCATATTAAGGCGCCCGCCTGTAAGATGGTAAACCGGCGTTCAGGCTGAAATTTCATCTCGCTCCGGGGCAGGTAGCACAATAAATCTTTGCAGATGAGATCGTGAGCGCCCTTTTGCATGCATTGCTCCTGCCTGCTCGAAATTCTCAAACCTGGTGAAGGACCCTTTAAGGTGTTCACAGACAGAAGAGAAATTGACCCCCTGCAGTTAGACCTAGTTAATGCGAGGCAAAAATACTCTTCCGGCATATTAGCGCTCTGTTGGCTACTGTGTTGCCCCTCTCAGCCATGCCGAAAAGAGAAAGACCCAGGAGCGTGCTCATTCGACAGTGGACACTTAACTCACAATGCTGGACTAGAAAAGGAGAGACCATATTCTGCAAACACTGTGGGAAAAAAAATGCATGGCTGTGCTAAACCATTGGCGTCTCTGTACCATCATAAACTAAAACATTCCCGTTTTCTTTCCTGTCTTGCATATGTATCGCACACATGTTTCTTTGAACGTTCGAATTTTGTTGAAGTTTGTTCTGCCTTTATTTATGATTTTGGGGGTCTAAAACTGTGTTTTGCCTGCCTTCTTTTGGTGCCTAAGAATCGTTTTTTAGTGCCTATAAATCTGCCTTCTAGTTATAATGTTAGGCAGTAGACATTAACCATGGTTACTTCAGGAAAGAGAGAAAAACTGTTATCCTCAGTAGGTACATATTTAAATGTGTAGTTTGAATGAGCCTTTTCCTAGTCTGCCCAGCACCCCAAGTGGAGATCACCGAAATCAAAACTGGTGGCTCTTGGACTTGGAAATTGCCCTCCGCATGTCGGTAGGCACTCTCTGAAGCCTGCATTCACACCTCTCTTTGGGGAAAACATTTGCATGTTTGTGGCACCAGATGTCGCCTGGTCCACACGTGTCGGCACATTTTGGCCACCTAAAATTATGGCACGTGTCGTGCACAGGCCTCCTCGAGGCCGGCGCGCATGCACAGACTACCTACCTAGAAAAGGCCCATTAGTGTGCAGTGATTAATTAGTTGCACTCTAAATCATAGGTCAGCGAACTCACTCATGAGTCGACTCACTGAGATCGAGTCTTAGTCCGAGCAAGTTCGATAGAAGAAAATTTTTGTGAACCCGAGTGAGCGTCATAACTTTTGCTGACCTTAATAGTGTAAACTCTAATTTTGAAGAGAATAGAAATGCACATTACTCTTTTGAACACAGCTGTTCATTACCTTATGCTGCAAACGTTTGAGCAGCATGGGACACAATTTTTTTTTTCTAAGGGGAGATGCGAGTTGAAAAATGTGTTCTTTTTCAAAATTACATATTTTTCATTTTTACTTGCTTTCACAAGTTTAGTTTCTCTACCTTTACGACAAAAAAAGCTGAAGATTGTAATTCAATTTGAAGTAGGTTAAAATTGCTTTTAAGGAGCACAGAGCAGCTACTAAAAAGTGGAAAGAGCTCATTCTCTAAAGTCTCCTAAAAATTATCATTTGACTGCTTGCCATCGCATTTTGCATGAGGAGTTCCCTAAAG